CGTTCTAGAATACCGTAAAACACATTTTCCTCCCCTAAAATGCCTAAAAAAAAAAAGATGGAAAAATGGCCAATTTTGGACCAAAACCATGGGTTAGCCCCTTTGCAAAAATCTCAATTTTTCCACTTTTTGATAATGCTGTTTTTATTCTTTAGAAAGGCGTGTTTTCGTTCTAGAATATCGTAAAACACATTTTCCTGGCCTATAATGCTTAAAAAAAGAAAGATGGAAAAAAGGCCAATTTAGACCGAAACCATGGGTTAACCCCTTTGCAAATATCTCAATTCTTCGACTTTTTGAACTTCTTGTTTTTGAAGCCTAAAAGGCCGTTTTTTCGTTGTAGAATATCGTGAAACACATTTTCCTGGCTTGAAATGCTTAAAAAAAGAAAGATGGAGAAATAGCCAATTTTAGACAAAAACCATGGGTTAACCCCTTTGTAGAAATCGCAATTTTTCCACTTTTTGAAGATGCTGTTTTTATAGTTTAGAAAGGCGTTTTTTCGTTCTAGAATATCGTAAAACACATTTTGCTGGCCTATAACGCTTAAAAAAAGAAAGATGGAAAAATGGCCAATTTTAGACCAAAACCATGGTTTAACCCCTTTGCAAAAATCTCAATTTTTCCACTTTTTGAACCTTCTGTTTTTATGGCCTAGGAACGCGTTTTTTCGTTCTAGAATATCGTAAAACACATTTTCCTGCCCTATAATGCCTAAATAAAAAAAGATGGAAAATGGCAAATTTTAAACCAAAATCATGGGTTACCCCCTTAGCAAAAATCTCAATTTTTCGACTTTTTAAACTTGTTGTTTTTATAACCTAGAAAGGCATTTTTTCAGTTCTAGAATATCGTAAAACACATTTTCCTGCCCTATATTGGCTAAAAACAACTGACGGAGAAATGGTTAATTTTGCACCAAAACCATGGGTTAACCCCTTCGCAAAAATCTCAATTTTTCGACTTTTTGAACTTCTTGCTTTTATAGCCTAGAGAGGTGTTTTCTCGTTCTAGAATATCGTAAAACACTTTTTCCTGGCCTATATTGCCTAAAAAAAAAGATGGAAAAATGGCCAATTTTGCACCAAAACCATGGGTTAACCCCTTCACAAAAATCTCAATTTTTTCGAAAACCATTTTTGAACTTTTTTTTTATAGCCTAGATAGAAAGGCGTTTTTTCGTTCTAGAATATCGTAAAACACTTTTTTTCCTGGCCTATATTGCCTAAAAAAAAAAGATGGAAAAATGGCCAGTTTTAGACCAAAACCATGGGTTAACCCCTTTACAAAAAAATCGCAATTTTTCCACTTTTTAAACTCGCTGTTTTTATAGCCTAGAAAAGGATTTTTTTTTCGTTCTAGAATATCGTAAAACACATTTTCCTGGCCTATATTGGCTAAAAAAAACTGATGGAGAAATGGTTAATTTTGCACCAAAACCATGGGTTAACCCCTTCGCAAAAATCTCAATTTTTCGACTTTTTGAACTTCTTGCTTTTATAGCCTAGAGAGGTGTTTTCTCGTTCTAGAATATCGTAAAACACTTTTTCCTGGCCTATATTGCCTAAAAAAAAAGATGGAAAAATGGCCAATTTTGCACCAAAACCATGGGTTAACCCCTTCACAAAAATCTCAATTTTTCGACTTTTTGAACTCCTTGCTTTTATAGCCTAGAGAGGTGTTTTCTCGTTCTAGAATATCGTAAAACACTTTTTCCTGGCCTATATTGCCTAAAAAAAAAAGATGGAAAAATGGCCAATTTTACACCAAAACCATGGGTTAGCCCCTTTGAAAAAATCGCAATTTTTCCACTTTTTGAAGTCGCTGTTTTTATAGCCTAAAAAGGCGTTTTTTCGTTCTAGAATATCGTAAAACACATTTCCTGCCCTATATTGGCTTAAAACAACTGACGGAGAAATGGTCAATTTTGCACCAAAACCATGGGTTAACCCCTTCACAAAAATCTCAATTTTTCGACTTTTTGAACCTGTTGCTTTTATAGCCTAGAGAGGTGTTTTCTCGTTCTAGAATATCGTAAAACACTGTTTCCTAGCCTATATTGCCTAAAAAAAAAGATGGAAAAATGGCAACTTGAACTTGTTGTTTTTATAGCCTAGAAAGGCGTTTTTTCGTTCTAGAATATCGTAAAACACATTTTCCTGCCCGATAATGCCTAAAAAAAAAAAGATTGAGAAAGGGCCAATTTTGGACCAAAACCAAAAATCTCAATTTTTCCACTTTTTGAACTTGCAGTTTTTATAGCCTAGAAAGGCGTTTTCTCGTTCTAGAATATCGTAAAACACATTTTCCTGCCCTAAAATGCCTAAAAAAAGATGGAAAAATGGCCAGTTTTGGACCAAAACCATGGGTTAGCCCCTTTACAAAAATCTCAATTTTTAGACTTTTTAAACTTGTTTTTATAACCTAGAAAGGCATTTTTTCGTTCTAGAATATCGTAAAACACATTTTCCTGGCCTATATTGCCTAAAAACAAAAGATGAAAAATGGCCAATTTTCCACCAAAACCATGGGTTAACCCCTTTGCAAAAATCTCAATTTTTCCACATTTTGAACCTTCTGTTTTTATGGCCTAGGAAGGCGTTTTTTCGTTCTAGAATATCGTAAAACACATTTTCCTGCCCTATAACGCCTAAAAAAAGAGGGAAAAATGGCCAATTTTGGACCAAAACCATGGGTTATCCCCTTAGCAAAAATCTCAATTTTTCGACTTTTTAACCTTGTTGTTTTTATAACCTAGAAAGGCATTTTTTCGTTCTAGAATATCGTAAAACACTTTTTCCTGGCCTATATTTCCTAAAACAAAAGATGGAAAAATGGCCAATTTTGGACTAAAACCATGGGTTAACCCTTTGCAAAAATCGCAATTTTTCCACTTTTTGAAATTGTTGTTTTTATGGCCTAGAAAGGCGTTATTTCGTTCTAGAATATCGTAAAACAAAGTTTCCTGGCCTATATTGCCTAAAAAAAGATGGAAAAATGGCCAATTTTGCACCAAAACCATGGGTTAGCCCCTTTGAAAAAATCGCAATTTTTCCACTTTTTGAACTCGCTGTTTTTATAGCCTAAAAAGGCGTTTTTTCGTTCTAGAATGTCGTGGAACACATTTTCCTGGCCTATATTGGCTAAAAACAACTGATGGAAAAATGGCCAATTTTGGACCAAAAAAGTAAAAAAGATATCTTTTTTCTCTACAAAGTTATTAAGCATTTTTTCTTGACAAAATCTAAATAAAGAAACATTTAGCATTTTCTCACCTAAAGCATGGTTTAATCCCTTTGGAAAAATGCGATCTTTGGGGCTTGGAAAAATTTTTTTATAGTCAAAAAAAGTTTCTTTTCTATCTAGAATACTATTAAACTTTGTCTAGTCTTATTTTGACCAAAAACAAATAAAGAAAAAAAATGAATTTTTTGACGGAAAGCATGGGTTACCCCTTTGGAAAAATGCCATTTTTAGAAGTTTAGAACATTTTTGTTTTTATACCAAAAGAGGTTTCTTTTTTCTCTACAAAGTTGTTACGCATTATTTCTCGTCTCATTTTGACCAAATCTAAATAGAAGAAAAATGTGGCATTTTTGGACCTAAAGCATGGGTTAACCCCTTTGGAAAAATGCCATTTTTAAGACTTTTAAAAATTTTGTTCTTATACTAGAAAAAGGTTTCTTTTTTCTCTACAAAGTTATTAAGCATTATTTTGACCAAATCAAACTAAAGAAAAAATTTGGCATTTTTTTACTTAAGGCATGGATTACCCATTTAGGAAAAAGTGATTTTTTGGGACTTTGTAAAACATTATTAAACCTTATTTCTACTCTTATTGAGGACGAAAACAAATAATAAAAAAAATTCCATTTCTTGACCAAAAGCACGGGTTAACCCCCTTGGAAAAATGCGTTTTTTGAGTCTTTGAAAATTTTTTTTTATATAGTCAAAAAAAGTTTCTTTTCTATCTAAAACATTATTAAACCTTGGTTCTAGACCTCTTTTAAGCGAGAACAAATAATGAAAAAATGGCATTTTTTTTACCAAAAGCATGGGTTAACCCCTTTGGAAAAATGCAATTTTGGGGACCGTCCAAAATTTTTGTTCTTATTGTAAAAAAAGGTTTCTTTTTTCTCTCCAAAGTTATTAAGCATTATGTCTAGTCTTGTTTTGACAGAATCTAAATAAAGAAAAATTTGGCATTTATGACCTAAAGCATGGGTTAACCCCTTTGGAAAAATGCGATTTTTAAGACTTTGAAAATTTTTTTTATATAGTAAGAAACGGTTTCTTTTTTCTCCAAAACGTTATTAAGCATTTTCTCTACTCTTATTTTAACCAAATCTAAATAAGGAAAAATTTGGAATTTTTTGACCAAAAGTATGGGTTAACACGTTTGGAAAAATGCCATTTTTGGGACTTGAAAATGTTGTTTTTATAGTCAAAAAAGTTTCTTTTCTATCTAGAACATTATCAAACCTTGTTTCTAGTCTAATTTTAACCGAAAAAAAAAATAATGAAAAAATTGGCATTTTTGAGCAAAAGCATGGGTTAACCTCTTTGGAAAAATGCAATTTTTGGAACTTTGAAAAAATTTGTTTTTCTAGTCAAAAAAGTTTGTTTATTATATTATTTTAACTCTTATTTTGATCAAAAACAAAAAATGGAAAAAATGGAATTTTTTTGTTCAGAAGCATGGGTTAACCCCTTTGGAAAAATGCGATTTATAGGACTTGCAAAAATTTTTGTTATTATAGTGAAAAAAAGTTTCTTTTTTCTCTAAAAAGTCGTTTAGCATGTTTTCTAGTCTTATTTTGACCAAATCTAAATAAAGAAAAATTTGGCATTTTTTGACCTAAAGGATGAGTTAACCCCTTTGGAAAAATGCGATTTTTGGGACTTCGAAAAACAATTTTTTATAGTCAAAAAAAGTTTCTTTTCTATCTAGAACATTATTAAACCTTTGTTCGCAATTTAAGTGCTCCTATGTGAAGACTTCAGGCTTTATGACCAGGAAATATACTCTGTACACCAACGAAAACCTCCTCTTCTGACAGCTGCTCTACAGAAGGTAGCTTCCACAAAAGAATTCCATAAAATAGATACTTGGCTGGATTCTCTCTCTTCATCTCAGTTATCAGGTAACTCCAATTCACAGAAAGGTGACCAGACACATTGTGCAGTTCATGATCTGCATTGACAAAGGCCACGCTAAAAAGAAGGAGAAAAAAAGAACAATCGGTTAAAAAACAGTGAAACAATGTATCACAAGAGTTTTGCTTTGGGTCAATGCAGTACCCTTAGTACGATTTGTCCTTTCTTCCATGAAAATCATGGAGTGAAGACTACAGAGAGAAAGCTATAATAACGAGGGAATAATCAGTTCAAAAACTAAACTAAAGTCACGTCATGCCACTAATCCATGCTTTGTACAGGGTGGATTACATAACAACAATGGCTTCTCTATTTTTTAGCTCTGCTCTTTTCCTCAACGAAGTTCAGTAGTTTCAAGACAAGATACAGGAGATAAATGTTACCAAACAGTTATGATATGCCCTTCTCAACTAGTAAAACAATGAAATGGATGTTAAGCTACACACACCTACATGACCTTCTCTAGTGTCCTCTTAATAGAGGTGTCCACCTAGTAATGTTTATTTACTTAGAATAAGACAAGAAACATCTGAATCATACAGTGCTATTTGTCCACTATATGTTAAGTGTCTGCTTAATAGGAGCCAAGTCACTTACCATCAATCCAAAGCGTCTTCAAAATCAGGAAAAGAATGGCAATGGCTTCTCTTTGTCATCCCTGCTTTTTTCGCCACAGCAGACAAGCAATCTTGTCCCCACATTCCTTCAAATCCGAAAATATAAAATAAACGATGATAACGAGTACAAAGATTCAATGTCAATGATTTATGGCATTACAATGTAAGTGTTAATTATCTCCATGGTCAAATGGAAGTGTGCCTCCCCCAAATTGCATTTGATTAGGAGTCTGCTGTTTGTTCGCTGCTCTATAAAGTATAGTCCTCCAAAAGCTTCTGCAAGAGCAATAAGGATAGCAATAATCAATGCAGATAGCTCAAGGTACTTGCACTGGCCACAATCACTACAAGACTAGAGGAAAGTCAGCATAAGTACTGACTGACTGAGGAGGCATGTTGGGTATCCTGGATTTCCTGGAGTTGGGTGGCAGGTTCCTCTAATAGCCAGGTTGAAATCACAGCAAAAAGGGAAGGCATCAGGAATGGTTTTGTAGTTACGCACTACAAATAGGGAAGAACAATTAGTATGAGTAGCTGGTTTCCATACTTACTGGTTTATTGGTTGGCCAGTTCTATGATTTCTGATCTCTTGTGTTATGTAGATTAAGTGACACCGGCTTCTGCCGAAACAGTTCATCGGCCACATAACACCACTACATGTTCCACAAGTTCAGCTTTCATTGGAATCTGGCCATATTCAAGCATCCAGCCACCATAAGGAATCCAACTTCATACAAGAGATGCTTTTGTAGTTAAGCACTACATATAGGGAAGAACAGTTAGTATGAGTTGCTGGTTTCCATACTTACTGGTTAGTGGTTGGCCAGTTCTATGATTTCTGATCTCTTGTGTTATGCAGATTAAGTGACACCGGCTTCTGCCGAAACAGTTCATCGGCCACATAACACCACTACATGTTCCACAAGTTCAGCTTTCATTGGAATCCGGCCATATTCAAGCATCCAGCCACCATAAGGAATCCAACTTCATACAAGGGATGCTTTTGTAGTTAAGCACTACATATAGGGAAGAACAGTTAGTATGAGTTGCTGGTTTCCATACTTACTGGTTTATTGGTTGGCCAGTTCTATGATTTCTGATCTCTTGTGTTATGTAGATTAAATGACACCGGCTTCTGCCGAAACAGTTCATCGACCACATAACACCACTACATGTTCCACAAGTTCAGCTTTCATTGGAATCCGGCCATATTCAAGCATCCAGCCACCATAAGGAATCCAACTTCATACAAGGGATGCTTTTGTAGTTAAGCACTACATATAGGGAAGAACAGTTAGTATGAGTTGCTGGTTTCCATACTTACTGGTTTATTGGTTGGCCAGTTCTATGATTTCTGATCTCTTGTGTTATGTAGATTAAGTGACACCGGCTTCTGCCGAAACAGTTCATCGGCCACATAACACCACTACATGTTCCACAAGTTCAGCTTTCATTGGAATCTGGCCATATTCAAGCATCCAGCCACCATAAGGAATCCAACTTCATACAAGAGATGCTTTTGTAGTTAAGCACTACATATAGGGAAGAACAGTTAGTATGAGTTGCTGGTTTCCATACTTACTGGTTATTGGTTGGCCAGTTCTATGATTTCTGATCTCTTGTGTTATGCAGATTAAGTGACACCGGCTTCTGCCGAAACAGTTCATCGGCCACATAACACCACTACATGTTCCACAAGTTCAGCTTTCATTGGAATCCGCCATATTCAAGCATCCAGCCACCATAAGGAATCCAACTTCATACAAGGGATGTTTTTGTAGTTAAGCACTACATATAGGGAAGAACAGTTAGTATGAGTTGCTGGTTTCCATACTTACTGGTTTATTGGTTGGCCAGTTCTATGATTTCTGATCTCTTGTGTTATGTAGATTAAATGACACCGGCTTCTGCCGAAACAGTTCATCGACCACATAACACCACTACATGTTCCACAAGTTCAGCTTTCATTGGAATCCGGCCATATTCAAGCATCCAGCCACCATAAAGAATCCAACTTCATACAAGGGATGCTTTTGTAGTTAAGCACTACATATAGGGAAGAACAGTTAGTATGAGTTGCTGGTTTCCATACTTACTGGTTTATTGGTTGGCCAGTTCTATGATTTCTGATCTCTTGTGTTATGTAGATTAAGTGACACCGGCTTCTGCCGAAACAGTTCATCGGCCACATAACACCACTACATGTTCCACAAGTTCAGCTTTCATTGGAATCCGGCCATATTCAAGCATCCAGCCACCATAAAGAATCCAACTTCATACAAGGGATGCTTTTGTAGTTAAGCACTACATATAGGGAAGAACAGTTAGTATGAGTTGCTGGTTTCCATACTTACTGGTTATTGGTTGGCCAGTTCTATGATTTCTGATCTCTTGTGTTATGTAGATTAAGTGACACCGGCTTCTGCCGAAACAGTTCATCGGCCACATAACAACACTACATGTTCCACAAGTTCAGCTTTCATTGGAATCTGGCCATATTCAAGCATCCAGCCACCATAAGGAATCCAACTTCATACAAGTAGTATCTTCCACAAGTTTCCAGTCAGTTATATGGAATGTATGGGGCAGGCATCAGAGATACAGTTGTGGATCCATGATCACAACAAGTGAAGAGGAACAGTCAGTATGAAAACTGACTGAGTGGGTGTGTTATTAAATCAGGTGTTTAGGAGGTCTAGAGAGCAAAATATTAGCATCACAATGTATCACCAAATAATTGTTTAACAAGTCACTCTTGTTATGATAACTAGCTTTTTCCAACTTTAAAACCATGCAATGTTAATTCTCAAGAAAATGTATTAGACAGTTAATAATCCAAAAAACTGAAATTAGTCACCTACCTGATCAACAAATCCAGGGTACATGGTGGAGGGAGAAAAACAACAGTGGCTCGGCCTCCATGCCAGCTCTGCTTTCTTTCACATGACAAGCAAGAAATCTTACCACCACACTCCTTCTAATACATCAATGATACATGTATATGAAATATGATAACAAGTACAAAAGTCAACATTTAAATTCAAATCAATGTTTCATGTCAAAAAGTGAACTGAAATGGAAAAAAAAACAACCGCCATAGATCAAGCGTCTCTTAATCCCACTTATAAATCTGCTGTGTGTTGACGGCTGTAAACTGTGTTCCTTCAAGGATTTGAGCAAGAGTGATAATGACAGCCATAATCAAATGAAGACAGGTCAATGGTCATACAGTGACCACAATCACAACAGGAGTAGAGAAACAGTTAGTTTGAGTACCAACTTATTTGGGTATCCTGGGTTTACCAGGTCCAAACCAGAGCAATTAGGCTAAGCACAAGGGATGCCTTTGTAGTTGAACACCACAAATAGGGAATAACAGTTAGTATGAGTTTCTGGTTTCGATACTTACTGGTTTATAGGTTGACCGGTTCTATGTTTGCTGATCTCTCGTGGCATGCAGATTATTAAGAGTGGGCTCTTTGAGACGATCTGAATGAGGATAAGTGGTCTGAGATCACTCGGATCATGATAGATCAAATGAATTGATCTACCATGATCCAAGTGGTCTGGGATCTCCGATCCTAGTAAATCCTTATCATCCCAAAGGTCAACCCACCCCAAGTGACACCGGTTTCTGCCGAAACAGTTCATCGGCCAAACACCACTACATCATAACCACAAGTTCAGCTTTCATTGGAATCTAGTCATACACAAGCAACCAGTAACTGTAAGGAATCCAGTCTCATACAAGTAGTATCTCCCTCAAGTTTCCAGCAGATATCTGGAATGTATGGGGCAGGTATCAGGGATGCAGTTGTGGAACCTGGATTCCCTGGTGTTGGGTGGCACCTGCATTGAGAAGTTTGAGACTTTATTGCTGCATCTGTAGCTCATTCTTCAGAAGATCTCCATTTCACTGATTTGTCCTTTTCCCACTGCATGGCCTCTACTACAGCTGTAGGTGCTTTCATCGTGTTTATTCTGATGAAGTTTTAAAAGGTTGTGTTTTACAAAGCAGAGTTGTCAACCCTGCACTAAACTCCCAACCTGGAGGACCAGGGTGCTGTTTAGTCTGGCCCTTCTACCTTGGAGCAATCCGGCATAATTCAACGTGCCAGGAGCATAAGCTCCCGCCATCATAGCTCTAGTGGTCCCAAGGGCACGCAAGCCTCCCCGCCACGTCAAGGCACAGCACCAGGGGAGGTAAGACCTATTAATCCTTCTTAAATGCTTTACAGCACTTCCATTCTGCCTTTGGATTGAATATTAGTGAATCTATGTGAGACCAATTTTTTTAAGCTAAGTATTTCAACATGCACTATCCCATCATCTCTGTATTGTTCTTACATGGATTTTCCACACTGGGCTCCACAGGACCCATAGAGAAGCTGAAAGGAGGTCATAAGGGAGAAAAGCGGGTCACAATTTCAGATACAGTTAACTCAATGCTTTACTCACAGAGATAACTCATATGTTGCTTCCCCTACCTGGGAAACACGTATCCCTAGTGATATGTGTTCCCAACCTGGGAAACACATATCCCTAGTAATATGTGTTCCCCTACCTGGCCAACACATCCCTACCTGGAAAACACATATCCCTAGTAATATGTGTTCCCCTACCTGGCAAACACATCCCTACCTGGAAAACACATATCCCTAGTGATATGTGTTCCCAACCTGGGAAACACACATCCCTAGTAATATGTGTTCCCCCACCTGGCAAACACATCCCTACCTGGAAAACACATATCCCTAGTGATATGTGTTCCCCCACCTGGCAAACACGTATCCCAAGTGATATGTGTTCCCCTAGTCGTGAAACCCATCTCAAGTGATATGTGTTCCTCGCCCTGCAAAACACATATCCTTCATCATATTTGCTCCCGTACTTGGGAAACACATATCCCTAGTAATATGTATTCCCCTACCTGGGAAACACATATCCCTAGTGGCATGTGTTCCCCCATCCGGCAAGCACGTACCCCTAATGATATGTGTTCCCCTAGTTGTGAAACCCATTTCTCTAGTGATTCCCTACCTGGGAAACACATATCCCTGGTGATATGTGTTCCCTACCTAGAAACACATATCCCTAGTGATATGTGTTCCCTACCTGGGAAACACATATCCCTAGTGATATGTGTTCCCCTACCTGGGGAACACATATCCCTAGTGACATGTGTTCCCCCACTTGGGAAACACGTATCCCTAGTGATGTGTGTTTCCCTACTCGTGAAACCCATTTCTCTGGGTGGGATGTGCCGCTGGGACCGTGGAACCCTTAACCTATACCAGAGCTGGTTCAGCTGAATTTTGCTACCCTATACTAGAGTAAACTCCCCAAATCCCCCTATCCTAGAGTAGCTGTTTCCCTTGTCTAGATAAAATCTTCAACCAACCAATCAGTTTCCTGAAAAATGATACCCTATTCTAGACCCAAACCCTCTGATTTATATACCCTATCCTAGAGTAAACTGCTTGAAAACCATACCCTTCACAGCGGCACATACCTATATAGCCTATATATGGCAGTAACCGAAACCCCCCCGGGATCTGTGCAGGTAAGACTTTTAGAGATCAACTATGAAGCGAATGACAAGTCCAGATTGGAAATAAAACGTGATTGTTTTAAGATCAACATGACTTATGAGTAAATATTGTAGGACTACCTTGATTGATGAAGAGTTCAAAATTTTACATGTATTAATCAATTTATTCACAAATCTTTACTGACCAAACAATTAGGAACGTTTTGGAATAAAAGTTATCCTGTGTATTAGTACATATTCACAAACCTCTTTGCAGTGAAGATATGTGCTTTCTACAACAACAATTAGTATTGCACTGATTACACAAGAAATTCCAAGATTGTTTTTGCTAGCAATAAAAAAAAGCCATTTAAGCGCGCATGATGGCGTACTGTCCTATTTAACTGTCCTATTAAGGCTGAAATCAGGGCAGTTGATAGCCAGTCAGATTTAAGACTTTTGTTATAGTTATGACTATGAATTTAATTAACGTATTAAATTCTTGTTATTATTCAGTACAAATGTGACATATTGAACATATGAAAGTTTCAACTACTGAAAAAAAATTCCAGCCAGTAGAACCTTACATTGTACCAAAAAAAAATCTTGCATCTCTTAAATCCACCGGTCCATCCCTAAATTAAAGTGAAGGAAAGCTGCAGAAACAAAATCTTACAAAATTGTCGCGCTTGTGGGGAAGTACGCTACACATGACTTTTTCGAGGGGATCGACACGAGCTTCGTCCATTTTGTTTTCAATAATTGTCAAGCAAATCGATAAAAACGATAGCTTATTACAAAATTCGATCAAAATCGACTGCTGTTGAACTTTTGTTAACTGACATTGTATGTTTCAAGCTAACAATAAAATATTTGCGAAGCCATCTCGACAACAGCACGTAAACATTACCCGTAAGCTTTATACAGCGAGTCATCCTAAAATTTGAGAAATTTAAGTATAAATTCCATTTCAATGACCATACCATTCATTAACTTGGAGCTCTTGACAATATCGGTGCGGAAACAGCGCCCTTACTCAACCTCTTCAAGACGAACTCTCGTTGCATGCGGCTCGAGGTCCTCGAGGTCTCTTATCCAGTTGCTAGAGGTTTCACACTGTTGCTGCACGGCTCAAATTCCACCAATTCGTTAACTAAACTTATTTCACTGTCACATTCAGATTTAGTGCGGGAAAAAATCGGACGAATAAAACATTTTCCAAGGATTCAAAAGGCTTCTTTCAATCTCCCGCGAACTGTTCGAACAGACGACGCCAAACGCGAAAATCACGTGATCAAAGTTCATGTAAGTCCGCTGTGCTGTTATCTCGCGGGCTTCTCCGGGACATGTTTATATTGTTCTAATTATTTAGTGCTATTTATATTATTTGGAAACCAATTACTAGTTTTCTAACGAAGAAACAGGAAAAAAATAACCATTTTCCTCTTGGTAGTACTTTAACAATCTTACCTCCTTGTAGAATTGCTCCCACATGGTCACATTTGCCTCTTATCGACCCGGTTTCAGGAAAGCAACCTGGTTGTTCCAAATTGCATTAGGAGCAGCTCTTGAAACCATAAGAAACGCTGTGCCGCTGAACAGGGTATGGCTGAAAATGATGTCTTTTTGGACTGGAAGCCTTTCAAAGAGTATGAAGACTTGCGATGAGTGGTCTACATTTGCAATACCAGGAGCCGATGGCAATACCGATAATATTTTTCCTAAATATTTATTTCCATGATTTTAGTGTGAAAAATTACTTAATTCTGTATGCAGAATTAATTCTGTCTTAAACAGGGTCGGGGATTGCGGGCATCGGCGGCACACCTCTAACCAACCTTCCCTTGAGTGCCTTCAACCCCCCCACCCCACACACACACACCCCGGGAGCACAGTATGGGCTTATCGTCTTTTCGTTTTGGATACCCGGGAAGTTTACCATAATTTTTGGGGTGGCACATTCCTGTATGGCTTACCCGGGGTGGTATTTTCTTAAAGGCTAATGCGGATGTGCCGCTGGATGGGGTAGCATTTTCATGACTGGATTGGCTATAATGGGGTCGCATTTTCAATAACGTTACTAGAATGGGGTCGCACATTTTTCGGATTTTTGGGGGTAACACAGTTCTTCATATTTACGGCTAGCAAACGTGCCAGAATGTTTGTTCTGCAGAGGAAAAGTAAAGCGTTCTTCATTCAACTTAGAAAATGGGTCAATTCATAAAAATAGAAAGTGACTAAGTTGGGATTGCGAAAATTGCATTTATGCCCAATTGGCCGATTGACTTTGCATCTGTTTAAAGCGGCGCAAAGATTTTTAAACGACAATTCAAATTATGGACAGGTTACATTTGCAAAATATGACCTGGATTAAGAAAGAAGGATTTAATTAAAGGTGCAAGTGTTGTCTGGCTCGTGGACCAAGCATTTCTGCTTTATCGTGCAGCCTTAAAACCAATTTATACCCCCTTAATATTAGCTAATAAACTTAAAGCCAATGAAACGCCTCATTTAAGTCAAAGTTGAGCAAGCTCGAAAATCATAAATAATTCTGCTCTTCATGGTTAATTCAGAGTTTAATAATCTGCCGAAAGCTGAAACCGTCATAGTTTTGCATTAATTCCAGACATTAAAAGACAATACATTTCTAAAGAGTCTGGTACCACTGTTTGACATTTCAACAAACTTTTAATCTTCATTGTAAATGCTTCAAAACCTAATTAATTTAAAATAAAAATAAACTTGAAGGGCACCAAAGGATCTAGTGGAATCAACTAAAAAAAGATTGAAAACACTGAAACAAGTTAGACCCGTACAAAGTATTTTAAAAAGCTGAGTTGAATTTATCCGTCCTCTCGTTTCTCTGATTAGTCATAAAAGAGCATTTTAATATAATGGTGGGATATATATTCCCAGGACTTTAATTTTGTTTAACGGGGGAACTGCAAGTAGTCAAGGATATAACTAGTCTTCATGAATTGTTGGTTGAGGATCTTTCTGTTGGTTGCGCAATGCAGTGTTTCGTGCGTTCAAAGATATGCTTTTAAAAGGACCAACAGGTTGGTTGTCAGATGGTTGTCAAAATTTGAGTCACATACCGATTATTCTTTGAACTCTTAACAAGGTGTTCATCAGTTGATTTGACCTAGACCTTAGAACCTCATTACGACCTTACAGGCTGACCTTATAACTAAAGACCATCAGTTACTAAAAAACGGGATCGACCCAAAAACTACCTTGGACATTTCATGCAAGAAATGTCTTTTTCTTTTTTTTCTTTTCTGTAAAAGAATTAAAAGTGGGCGCGGTCTTTGTTTACACAATTGTGAAAAACTAATCAAATACAGTAGCCAAGCACAGTAATCTCGTCTTTTTGTGGTTTTAAAAATGTTCGAATTTCTTTTCGGACCTTGAACCACCAACAAGAACAACTTGAAGTTAATTTTTGACACACAACCTAAAACTTCCTAAATATTAAATTGCGTCTAGAGAAAGCACGTAAGGTTGAATTCTTTGACAATTATTGGTTATATTTTTTTCAGTTTGCCCAGTGGCTTGTCACGCCTAGAAGGCATTTTGGCCGCTTTACACGCTATGCGGGATAGGCCGAATAGGGTTAAGGGAACATCTGAAATAAGTCGCGATTGTTGTAAATGGTTAAAAAAAAGACATTTCAAAAAATCTGTTCAAAATAAACTGACTCATAAACAACGGTTGTCAAACTTAATAAGAAGCGTGGCTTATTTAAGACAGCCACTAAGAAGCTTATTGTCTTCGTACTTAACTGTCTCATGAATTCTAATTTGTCTTGTGGCCTTCGTCTACGGCAAAGAGAATGATAATTGATTTCAACCGCTTCACCACTAACAGAAAAAGACAAACAAATAGTCACTGCATTCAAAGTTACACCATGAAGGCAAAAAAAAAGGAATTTTTGCATAAAATTTTATCGTAATCTACGAGTTTTTGTAACATTTCAAGCTTTCGTTTTCCTTCACCTTCAACTGAAGTGTAATGCCCCGTACATATTAGCCCGTGATTATGCCCCCCCTCCCTCTATTACGGCTTATAAAAAAACCTCTGATTGCAGAAGAAGTATACAAAATACAGCCATTCGGTTCTTTACCAAAGCGACATGGTCAGTTATTTAATTGACGCTTGAATAATAAGACGTCGCCCCTCACCCGCCCATGTATAAAACAAACGCTCACTGCACGCAAAGTTCAACGACCTGTTAGGCAAATTAAAAAAGAGGCATTTACATTGGCTGTTAACCGAGACGACAATGATTGACTGCATTTCAACAAAAGAATCTGATCTTAAACAACCACCGCCCATCTCACGTCACCTTTCCTATAAGAAAAAAAAGTTCGTTGAAAGATTTCAGTCGCGGTTGAGGTTACACTGAGATAACTTCGAGGCATCAAAATGAGCCATATAATTCCCCAAGACCGCCCCACCTTCCAAGTAGCACACTGGTACAGATGTCAGGGCCTTGTTGGTCGCGAAAATTTCTTAGCGTTCCAGAAAAGATTCGAAGAGGTCGTCACTACCATTGCGAACACCAAAGACGAGGAAAAGTTTTGGAAGTTCGTTCGCACCCTGTTCGATTTCGATGACTACGCCGACTGCGTGCCGATCAACGCCGCCAACTTGTCCATCCTCTTTGACCCAGTGTTGCGGTTAATGAATGCCCTTGCGTTCGACTGGAATCGAGATATTTCCATTCAGAAGAGAATTCAACCGTTTGTGCGCACCATCCAGGTCGCCAGAGAACTAATCGCCAAGCAGCTTAACGTGGAGCCCGAACTGGTCGCATTCCAGCGAAACGGTTCTGACCCAAACGCAGTCATCAACAATGGTTTGACTTTCAATCACGGTGATCAAGTCGTAGTGTGGAATGAAAATCACCCGACGCAAGGAGAAGTTGCTTGGAGGATCAGAAAGGATCGCTTTCCAAATATCAACATTGTAGTCCTCGACCTCCAAGGTGAACAGGATCCAGTGAAGATTATGAAAAAGTTCCTTGACGCTGTAAATGGACATACCAGGCTTGTTGCATTCAGTGAGGTGAGTGAAATTTTTTCGTTGGTTTGGTTTTCAATAGTTTTTCCTTCTGTAAAAAAACGAATTTTCTTTGCATGACCCGGGGGGAAAGGGGCACCAGAGGTCAGTTTAGGTAGAGGTGTGTCACCGAAGCCTTCAAACTCCGACCCTGATTAAGGGCCCGGGGGGTACTCCCCTATATAAGCCATATAGGTATATACCACCCCAAAGGGTAGGGCCGGGTTTTGCTGCGTTTTGGTCTGGAATCGGGTATGGTTTTCGAGGGAACTACCGGGGATGTATCAATTCAGTTCCAAATGACTGAGAAAGAAAGAAAAATATGCAAATTCAAAATGGATTTTTAGAAATCTTCTTTGTTGCCGTTCTAATCCAAGCAATGATGACATTATTTCTTCGAAGCCAGGTCTGAAAACGAGTCTGGATTTTAGAGGCCAGGTCTGACAACGGGTGTGAATAATGAAATTTTTTTCGTCTGAAATAAAGTCAGAATATGAAGAACTGGGCGGCGCACCTACCAAGAATTCCCAGGAGTACCCTCCGGGATTAAGGGCTAGTTTACTTGGAGGTGGGGGACCACAGGTAGATGAGGTAACCCGCGGCGGATCACCCCACCTGTCATGTAAGCCTGATCAAATTAAAATGACAGATTATAAGGACAGGCGGGTTGCCCCAGGGTTGCCCCACCTAAGCGGGTTACCTCACCTACCTTGGGGTCCCCCACCTCCATGTTAACAGGCCCTAAGACAAAAATCGTTCATTTTACTACCCTGTTTAAAACAAGAGAAACCTTATTTTATGAGCCTTATTCATTTCGTTTCGCATACAGAATTAAACAATCTTAAAACTGACATCACGGAATCAGATTTTTTTGGAAATAATTGTTAGTACCACACATCGTTCATCGCCAACCTTCACATTCTTTTAAATGCTTGTTGTAGCTGATATTTCATTTAAGCTAAGCCTACTAGGGCCTGTTTACATGGAGGTGAGGGACCCCAGGTGGGTGACGTAGCCCGCTTAGGTGGGGTAACCCGCCTGCCCATATAATCTCTCATTTCTTGATCACGTTTACTTGATAGGTGGGGTGACCCGCCATATGTTACCCCCCACCTCCATGGAGACAAGCCCTTAGGCTCTTTGTAGCTAGCCAATTACTTGGTACAAAACCGCCATGCTGCAGAGCAAAAAGTCGCACTGGGACAAACCAGACAAAGAATATTGCCATTTAAAATTATGTATGCCTTTTATTTGTCTTGTCCCAGTGCGACTTTTGCTCTCCAGAATTGCGGTTTTGTACCATATGAATGGCTAGCTGCAAAGGGCCCATCTGAAAACTCAGTTGCATTTTAATTAAGAGCTCTCGATCTTCCAGTCCAAAAATACACTCTGTTCAAGAGGCAGGTAGTCAGGAATTGTTTTCCCTCATAAGAACTCAAAATTAAACTCATGCCCCGCTAGGCGCACACGGCCGGTTACTGAAATAAGAGGAAAGACCGTACGTAACAGCTGCGTGTCCGTATTATCGGGGTGACATAACAACGGGATATCCGTACTATCGAGGTGAACATGTGGTATCCGTGTTATTGGGGTGACCATAATAGTGGGATGTCGGTATTAACAGCCGACCGTAATAGCGGGGTGTCTGTATTATTAGGGTGAGCGTAATGACGGGGTGCCGTAATATAGGGGGTGACCGTAACAACAAGGTGTCCGGACTATCAAAATGACCGTAATAAAGGGCTGTCTGTAACAACGGGGTGACCGTAATAGCGGGGTGTCCGTATTATCGGAATGACCGATCATAATAGTGGGGTTTCCGTGCTATCGGGGTGATTGCAACAGCGGTGTGTCCGTATTATCGGTGTGCTTGAAATGGCGGGTCGGCTTGCGGTGTCCGTAATAGAGCGTTTTCACATGAAGTCCATGAAGTCACGGCGGCCATGTTTGTGTCCCAAAACAATGAAACGGCGGCCATGTTGGTGTCCCAAACCAGTCCTCTGGGAGTTGAACTCCTTTCTTATGCAAACACTTTCTTTTGTTCAAATAAATTTGCATAGAGGCTGGCCGCCACGTGAGTGAAAACACTCCATAGTGGGGTGTCCGTATCGTGGGGGGTAATAAACGGGTGTCCGCGTGACTGTCGGGGTCACCAAACTATTAGGCTGTCTGCAAGGCGATGGTTGACCGCATATCAAGAAAGGAGTCCTTCGATCAAGATTTTGACTTTTTTATTTCTAGGTATCTCACTTGAGCGGTACACGTTTGCCTGCCAAAGCTTTGTGTTCAGCTATCCACCAGAAAAACCCCGAGTCCATGTTCACGTTGACGGAGCCCAGAGTTGGGGCGCTTTCAAACATGACCTCAAAGACATGGGCTGTGACAGCTACAGCGGAGGGAGCCACAAATGGTTTTTAGGACCCAAGGAGACCGGTATTCTGTACATGAGAAAAGAGTGCATCCCAAATTTCGCACCCAAAGACATCGGGTACAATGGAGAAATGCAGCCCCCTCCAACTTTGCCAGATGACCCCCTTCCGTGGGATGCGTCCAGATTTGAGATGGTTGGCCAACGGAACGACACCAACCTCATCGGCCTCTTGTACACTGCGGACCTCATGGGTCTTATTGGCTACGACAAGATTGGAACTCGGATGAAAAAGCTTACCGACCACTTGCGAGGCAATTTGGAGAGGCTCCAGCGGGAACTGAAACGGCAACACAGGGAAGAAATCTTCGAAATCGAGACGCCGAAAGCCGATGATCTGCACCATGCAATCTTGGTGATTAAGTTCAAAGACCAAGCGCAGCCTGGATCAAGACAACAGAAAAAGCGACGTAAAACGAAGAAGTCTGAAGCTGCTTCTGCCACGCCTCTAAGCGAGCAGGTTTATAACCTGCTTTATGAAAATCACAAGATCGGCGTCTCTACCAAGAAGGGAAATAGGATGCGATTCTCGCCTCATATCTACAATACATTCGAGCACATGGATCGAGTGGCTGCTGCCATGTCGGTGGAGATAAACAACATCCTCGACTCTTAAACGAAGATGCAAATAAACTTTCACAAACTGAACCGGACGGGACCAAATGAAAATAGGAAAACGGACTCAGTATTCCCCTGCTAGTCCTCTACAACTTATATTCTCGGTAGAGTTTAATTCTGTTTCAGTCTCTTTTGATTTTATATCATGAATTTTTTTTTCAGGTTAGTTAGTCAGTGAAACATTTGAGACATTGTCAAAAAACATTTTAACCTAAGAATAACTTTCGAAAAACTGCTGTTGTTAAGCATTAACTTAATCATCGTCCATTTTTAATAGCGTGGTGACGCCTATTTTTGTGAAGTACTAAAATAAAAAAAAGGAATGCTGAGCAGATTCATTGATACCTTTCCTTTACTTTTTCAAGGCACGGGGACGGGTGAAGGAAACGTTACTTTCCTCGTCACGCAACCCTTATCAGGGTTACATGACCAGGAAAATGAAAGTTGTGTACGTCTGCGGGGAACGAGGTGGTTTTTAGCGAAGTTATGTTTTCCTTTTAAAGTTTCACTCGCTACATAAGCCAAAATGGCGGCTACACGATTAAACGACACAGTCCAGCCTGTTTAAATTCTAAAGCCGGAACGAGCACTTGGCACTCAATTGGATGTTCTGTCGAATCTTCAAATTAAAAAAAAAAAAGCATCTCAGCAAAACCGAGAAATAAAAATTAGATGATACTTTATTTTTTACTAATTTCCTTCTTTTGACACTTACATAATGTAAATTCTCGGTAGCTCCATTCCTTACGTGACAAATTAGGTCACGCAACACACTTCAACATAAGCAAACCTCTTGAAAGAAAAATGAAGAAAGGCTGCATTGGACAACTTAATTTTGACACGATTTTCTGCGAGTTTTATTAATATATTACTTTTTCCTTATGTATAACATATTTGCTTTACTTACATGAGAACGAATTTTTTTTTCTGTCTGAAAGAAGTTGACATCACGTGGCAATGATGAATGGCTGTTTTTCCAATAAGTTAGTAGTAGTCAATAGATACTGTACATTACAAACACGTGTGGAAAAACTTTAACCTCGTTCTTTGTATATTACACTGATCTATTTACAAATTGACTGTTTCCAAGTTTGCTGCAATTTTGGAATTGAAGACGTCATGTTTTATACAATGTTCATCACTGAAAAGGCATACCTAGTTAATACAAAACTTTCGAGAAGAGCTCGTCTTTCGCTCGATCCAAATTTTGTTTTAGCTACAAAGCTTCCTTGAGTGTTTTCTTCCCGAATCAGGAAGTTCTAAAATGTCTGGTCGTTCAAATCCGGAATCCTGGAAATTCTGGCTTGTGGAATACGAAATCCAGGGCTTTGGAATCCGAAATTCAGCTCAAGGATAACGGAATCCCGCTTAAGATTGGAATCCGGAAACCACGTTCCACTAATAATGAATCCAGAAGGCAGTATCTGGAATATGGAATCCCAAACATCCAGAATCCAGGGGTGCTTACCATTTACACAAACCACCCGGGTGGAACTTCTTAGACTACGAGTATTCCCCATTTTTCCTCAGGGATAGTAGAGCGAGCGATACACGAGCGCGCGTGAAAATCAACCCACGCGAGAATAAGCGACACTCGGCGGGAAGAGAGAAAAATGAGTTTTTCTCTCTCCCCGCCGCGTGTCGCCTTTTCTCGCGAGGGGTGATTTTCACGCGCGCTTGCGTTTCGCTCGCTCTACTATCCCTGAGGAAAAATGTGGACTACTCGTAGTCTAGAAACTTCTGTGCATAAACATTAAAACTATAGAATTTGACGTGGTGCGAGGACAACTCGTTACAAACTATATCCAAATCAGCTGAGCAGACTAAAAAGAGTAGAAAAATTACATTATCGAAAATCACAGCCCATAATTTCTGAAGCTTCCCAATCGGAATGGCGCGAGCCATTTGATTTTCTGACCCGAATTTCCGGTTTTCCCAAAAATGGCAAGTACCCCTGGATTCTGGATCCCACCGTTGGGATTCCGGATTCCAGATACTGCGTTCTGGATTCATTGTTAGCGGAACGTGGATTCCGGATTCCGGATTCCGGATTTACATAGAGCGAACTAACAATAGTGCATGTAAGAGGATTTTTTAAGGTTTCGATGAAGTTTAAAGACTCACAGATAGCTTCTTCCTACAAGTTTTTAATCATGATATTTGGCAGGCCATTTCTCCTTCTTTTCCAAGCTCCAAGCTCCTTGGATTCAAGCCTGAGGTACTTGAGCCATCTTCTGTATTCACGGCTGGTTGAGGCTCGGAAAACGTACGACTCTTTACCAACTGACAGCACTTCAAATGCGTCTTTCAGCTCTGGAACAAAAATAAACGAAACATGTTGCTTTGGATCGATTAGCCTCCTTCGCAGCAGTTATTATGAGGTGGACTGGTAGCAAGTCTACGGTTATTAGGGTCGTCACGCAACGCTCCTCCCCACTAACGGAACGTTGTATGACGACCTTAGTAACGAAGGAGACTACGGAACTACTGGCACTTGAACGGAATGGAGTGTTAGTAACACAAATCACTGTAAATGAATACCCTACAGAGTAGTTCTATTTTTCTACTTACCAGAGTCTCTAAAAATAACGCACATGTCCAGAAACAAAGGATCCTACAAGGAAAAACAAATGAAATATTAAAGTTAAGAACTCAGCTGATTACAGTGGCGTAGCCACCAGCAGCCAAGTATGTACAACCATTCATAAAAAAATCGAACATAGAAATAATGAAATGCAAAATAATGAAAAAGAAGAAAGAAAATTATAAGGAAAAGCAAATAAATGAAATATTATAATTTGACATGCGCAGCTTGCCTCAACTCACATAACTCGGTCTGTTGCTTTGAAATATCATTGTCTTAAACAACGTGCAGATAACTAGCTGAGATACTATAATGCGTGGATGACTGGGATAAGTGGGATGAAAGGGATGAATAAGATGACCAGGATGACCAAGTCGACTGGGATGACCTGGATAACTGGGATGAAAGGGATGACCAGGATGACCTAAGGTCAATTTAATAAAACTTTTACACCTGTAATTTACAAGTGTAGCTATTTTTCTCGGGCTCTAAAACAACGGCTACACTTGTAAATTGAACGTGTAAAAGTCTTATTAAATTGACTCCTATATGGCCAGGATGGCCAGGATGTTTAGGATGACCGGGATGACCGGGGTGACCGGAATGCAGCTCTTTACGTAACTTACCTTAAAAAGAGTGTACTTTCCACTTATCTTTTTTCTGAGCAACACAACGGCGGCATCTGTCACTTCTCCTTCCCCAGGAAACAGCAACTCGTCACACTGCCCCTCGTCGTCAGAATCAATTCTTAATGACTAAAGTAAAGGCAAAAAATTAACGGGAAAAGAGGAATAAAAAACGTGGTTACATAAATTTCATTTAGCAGGCGTTAAGCGGTTGGTAAATTGTCTTTTGAAAGGGCCGCTGTTTTTCGTTTGTTATATCTAAAACACCCTGAGATATAATAATTTTTCTTAACATGGTTGGTAAGAAACGAACTTCTTTTCCTCTTTCGGTATTACGGCCCACGCCTCTGGCCAGAGAGAACACGGCAAGCTTTGCCTTAAAATGGTCACAAATTCGAAGGGAAAAATATTCAGTTTGTAACTTACAGAAACAAACCTCGAACAGTATAAAAAAACCTGGATGAAACCATTAGACAAGAACGTTTTTGAATGAATACAAAACGCCAAAAAAAAAACGAACAAAAAGCGATATTTTAATCTTGATTTAAAATAAAAGCATAAAAGTAAAAACGTAATTTTCGAAAATGAATCAAATATAAACCTCCTAAAAATTGAGCCAAAAAATTTAAACAACGAACCAAAATAAGCCCTCCGGAGGCTTGTTAAAATTGCCTTCAAATACAAAGTAAAACAAAGCAAAAACGTAAATTTGCCATTTTAATGTCAATTTGAAACGCAAATTTCCCTCCGTAGAAAGTCCAAAATAACCCCTTCAAAAAGGTTGAAAGGAATTTTGGTTTAAAGGGCAAGATACAAAGTTTACAAGACATAAAACGTTGAAATCGTTTGTTACGCGTATAGCCTCATTCACGTACTAATCTTAAAAGAATACACTTCGCATGGTTTACAGACAGTTGCAGTTTAACCATAGCATAGTAAACTACATTACCTTGTATTATTCGCTTATGTTAATTCAGGATACACACCTCTGAGTGACCTCTGACACAGAAAAGTGCGCACACGGAGAGCGCCTTCTTGCTGTTGCGTCGGTTCCAGGCAGCGCCAAACTCATGAATAGTGACCTGAAAAGTAGGAACAGCAAAGTAAAAACCAACCCTTGTTGGCGGTTCAGCGGGGGTTCGAACCCATCATATTCTGCGCTTGTAACTACTTTTTTCGCGCATAATTTTGGGAAACAGGGGCACCCAACGACGGTTTCCTCTTACATACATTGAAAAATCATTTTTGGTTATCCAGAGTACTCTTAGATCTGTAAAATGCATTCTAAGCGGCGCTATTAAATTTGTATCTGTTCGGTCACCTTAGGGGAACTTGAGTCTTCTCGGAACAAAAGGAGCTTCAATATTATTTTTCGAAAATTTTACATGCAATTTAACGTTTCAGGAATGTGAGGATTTTTCTTATTCCTCTCTCCATCACAATTTTGAAAGCGAAAATTTTAGGTTTCCTTTTTCTACGAAAATTAGCCCACTATGGTGAGTAAAATGTGAAAAATTAACTTCAGAATATCGTCGGATATTTATTAGATAAGCTTTGAAAATTGTACCTGTGTGGCACGGTCTTTCAGAGTTTTTAACCGTCCTCAAGCAATAGAAAATTCTAGGGATTGTTTGCTTCTCGGAACAGATAGTTTACAGAAAACAGTCGTCAAATCATGCAGTGCCCCTGAAGAAGAAGAAGAACGGGAAATAATGCATGAAGAAAAGGCTGAACAGACCTGAAAGACTCCGTGCATCAGTAACTGCATCTCTTCCATGGTCCAGTTAAGAATATCGGACGCCATTTTCTTCATTTGCAGTTTATCAAGCGAGTCTGATCGTCCTAGCTGCTGACTAGCACGATATCGCTTTTGGCGCGACTCAACGGTGGTGTTTAACTGAAACGAAATGAAATTGACGCTAGTTTAGGAGGCTATAGCGGAACTCCACGCGTGCGCTTCGCGGAATCTCATACCTAAGAAAATTTGGTAATCTGTCCATTCGCCACTTGCTCATCTCCCATAATGCACCTTATTTGCGTCCCCCCGCCCCCCCCTCCCCCATTTTGCATAAGCATTGTTGCATTGTTTTTAATTTCTCTTGGGACGGTTGTAATACCCAGGAGAAATGAAAAACAAGGGTTATTCAAAATTTATTTTTTTTTGGGGGGGGGGGGACAAAAAAGGTGCATTATGGGAGATGTGCAAGTGGCGAATCCGAGAAATTTTGGTAATCACGTGACCGTACGCCCGTCCGTAAGCACCACAGGGTTACCAAAGTGAAATGTCAACCTTTCTAATTAATGTGGGAGCCTTTAGCTTGTGTTTAACTTGATAAATGACAGCTGTCAAATAAATGAACAGAGGCTGAATATCAAAACAGAACTGAGGAGGAGAATTAGCGGAGAACAGTTAATAAGCGCCCAGCCTCGAATAAGCGCCCACCCCACTTCCCTCCCACTCCCATTGCGACCACCCCCACCCCACCCCCAAAATTGGCAACTTCCCGGTTTTCTTCAAAATTTTACAGGAACCTTGACTTTTCATCTTCGAGTTTTGTTATTACCATTTATTGTTTTGTTGCAAAATAATCATAAAACAGAACGAACAAGCGCCCACCTCGAATGACTCAAATCAAAAATTTAATAAGCGCCCAGGGCGGTTAATCGAATAAATACGGTAATCGTGTTAACGTAACCGTGTGTTTGGAGACACCCGCTTTGATAATGATCGCGACGTTTACTGCTGGTCTTCGTTCGTCAAGCCATGAAGACCGATATCAATGCCAAAGTCACCATCTCCTTTTTGAATAACTGGGGTTTTCGTATATTAAGCATCGACAATGCATAACCAACTCCCACATCCCTAACTGAAGAGGTTAGAGATAGGCACCACTTGGTGCGAATCAGTTAAAACAATACAACTCTACGGTTTGAGTTAAGCATAAAGACGATTGACTAACTTCGAAAACTGAAATTATTGTAAATTACTTACTGCATTAATTTTATTGAGCTGTTCTTCAATCTTTCTTTGAGCCACTTTGAGTTTCTCGCGGTCTGTGTTTCTCCGAGGAGTTGCTTTGCATATTCTGCTTAGCAACAGTGGATATCTGAGCAATAAAAAGGACGCAGAAGAATATGGCGAATAGTCACACAAAACATCGAACGGAAAGGCACTCGATTGGTGGAATGGCCTACAAGCCAAAGGACTGATTTACCCTTCCACGGTTTTTGCAATTTTTGACTGGGACCACTTAGCAAAACTCCATCAATATGACTAAAAACAATGACTCGAAATTTGTAAAAATGCCAAATTTGAACGTGATTTGTTGAAAACTAACAACGCATAGCTCCGCAAAGTCGCTGAAATTTACAGATATTCGCTAAATGGTCTTTATCAAAACTTGAAAAAGAAGACATATTACTTGACTTAAGGTCTGACCGACAGATGAAAGGACGACTATGGACTGACTGACTGAACGTCAAATTATCTATCAGACCGATTCAAATGTTAGCCGGCTGACTGTCTAACTGTCTGACAAGATGGACGAAAATACTGAGGCAAACCGGCTGGCTCTCTGTAGGACGGCTGAAACCAGAGAAACTACATGTAATCAATGAAAATATCTCCCAGTATTCTCGGCAAGTGTTTAGGCCCTCACTGGCTTTCAGTAAACCTCGAATTTTGCGTTTCGCGATGATAAAACGTAAGTCTGCGTAACCAGGAGGTCATAGTAGGATAGAGAGGGAGTCTAGGGATGTTAAACGGGATATATTAACTTCAAAAAAGTTATTTTTAGAAACTATGCGGACCTTGCGGAAACAGTTTCCGGTAAACTGGTTGACTTCCGCAAGTCTCGATTTTAAGATTTAGTGTGTCAGAGGGAGGCGTAATCAATAAATGAAAGAAGCGGCAGTCTCAGTGGATGGACTTTCATCTCTTGACGCCACTTACTTCATGATCCTTTGAACGGGTGCCAGAATGAAAGAATTCAAGTCCATTTTTCGACACTTTGGATTTTCCCTACAAGTCACCTGAAACCAAAAAAAAACATCCGCCTCAAATTTAATGATGCCAACTGCAAATTGTATACCACTCTGTTATTTATTGAGGCCAACGTTATTTCTCCTGATCAAACCACGAACGAAAAGTCTCTGGTATCCAAGGTACATCAAACTGTACTTACGTTCAGAAATATCCTAAGCAGTTCCGTTTTCTTCTGAAGGGATTCCAACAAGGCAGAAGCGGCAGTCTTAAAGAAAACAAAAAAGGCAAACAAACAAATTTATCGTCTGCCAATACAGCTGTCTTTCCTTAATCCTCATTACTAAGGAAGCTTCACGGGAGAGAAACGTCCCTAGAGCCAAGGAGCAAGGAGAGAGGGTTGCATTCGCAGGTTTTGGCGGATGATGGATGAATAAAATAAGGTAACAAATGACGCTCCACTTACGTAATTCTAGTCCAAATCAAACTTCAGCGAAAATTTCACGTGAGAATATTGTTCAATGGTAACACTTAAGTATTTCATCCACAGACTCAAAAGTTAGAACCACCTTGTACAGCATAATAAACAGTACCACAGGAAAGTACTGCTCAGTAGCTTTCATTTGAATGGTCACACCATAGGATTTCATCCACAGACTCAAAAGTTAGAACCACCTTGTACAGCATAATAAACAGTACCACAGAAAAGTACTGCTCAGTAGCTTTCATTCGAATGGTCACGCCATAGATTTCACCGCAGACTCAAAAGTTAAAACCACCTTGTACAGCATAATAAACAGCACCACAGGAACGAACTGCGCAGTAACTTTCACTTGAATGGTTACAACAGATTCAGATTTCAGATTTTTATTTATTGCACTATTTCAATAGTTTACAACTAAAACAAGAAATTACAATACATCACAAAAGTAAAATAAAACAACATTAAATTACATAAAACATCAAAGGCGGAATGTGCACAGTGACCAAAGAAGCTTAGGCTTTCGAGTTGGTCACTGGTCATCATAGATTTCATCACAGAACCAAAACTTAGAACCACCTTGGGTAGCATAATAACCAATACCACAGAAAAATACTACTAATATTCAAGTAACTTTCCCTTATATGGTCACACTTAAGAATCAAAATTATAACTACATTACACATTACATGTCCAGATGTAATTACCTCCTGTAATCAGAGTAAGCAATTACCTTACCTGTTTTGAACAATATATTTCATAAGCCTGAAAAAAATCGACGCTCTCGAGGAAAATGCTTCCAACGTTAACGTCAGAAAACTCCTAAAAAGAACAAGAAATCAAAAATTAATTACAAAACAAAAATAACCTTACGCAAGAACGACACTGTCTAACCTGCGCAGGTCGAAACCCGAGAAGTCTAAACACTACCAGAAAAAAGAGAGGTGTTGTTCTGTTAAACGATGACAACAGTGACAACAGTAAAAACGGCGCACAAAAGGGTTAACAGTGAAAGCAGCGACAACAGCGATAACAGTGACAACAGCGACAACGGGGCCAACAGTGACAACAGTGAAAACGGTGAAAACGGTGACAACAGTGACAACGGTAAAAAGGGTGACCACAGTGACAACAGTGAAAACGGTGACAACGGTGACAACCGTGACAACGGTGACAACGGTGACAACAGTGACAACAGTGACAACAGTGACAACGGTAACAGCAGTGACAACGGTGACAACAGTGACAACGGTGACAACGGTGATAGCGGTGACAACAGTGACAACGGTGACAGCGGTGACAATGGTGATAACGGTGACAATGGTGACAACGATGACAACGGTGACAACAGTGACAACGGTGACAGCGGTGACATCGGTGACAACGGTGACAATGATGACAACTATGACAATGGTGACAAGGATGACACCAGTGACAAAAGTGACAACAGTAACAACCGTGACAACGGTGACAGCGGTGACAACAGTGAAAACCGTGACAACGGTGACAACGGTGACAACGGTGACAACAGTAACAACAGTGACATCAGTGACAACAGTGACAACGGTGACAACGGTAACAAGAGTAACAACAGTGACAAGAGTGACAAGAGTGGCAAGGGTGACAACGAAGAATACGGTGACAACAGTGACAACAGTGACAACGGTGACAACGGTGAATACAGTGACTGCAGTGACAGCAGTGACAATGGTGACAACAGTGACAACGATGACAAAAGTGACAACAGTGACAAGAGTAACAACAGTGACAACGGTGACAACGGTGACAACAGCGACAACAGTGACAAAAGTGACAACAGTGACAACGGTGACAACAGTGACAACAGTGACAAGAGTGACAACAGTGACAACGGTGACAATGCTGACAAAAGTGACAAAAGTGACAACAGTGACAACGGTGACAACGGTGAAAAAGGTGACAATGGTGACAACAGTGACAACGGTGAAAACGGTGAAAACGATGACATCGGTGACAACGGGGACAATGGTGACAACGGTGACAAAAGTGACAACAGTGACAATGGTGACAACAGTCAAAACGGTGACAACAGTGACAACGGTGACAACAGTGGCAACCGTGACAACGGTGACAGCAGTGACAACGGTGACAACAGTGACAACAGAGACAACAGTGACAACACTGACAACAGTGACAACGGAAAAAGCAGTGACAACAGTGACAACGGTGACAGCAGTGACAACAGTGACAACGGTGAATACGGTGACAACAGTGACAATGGTGACAACGGTGAAAACAGTGATAACAGTGACAACGGTGACAACTGTGATAACAGGTGACAACAGTGACAACAGTGACAACCGGGACAACAGTGACAACAGTGAACTTTGTCAACAGCGACAACGGTGAAAATGGTGACAACAGTGACAAAAGGATAACAGTTACAACTGTGACAACAGTGACAACAGTGGCAACAGTGACAATAGTGACAACAGCAACAAAGCGAAAAAGAAAAAATGTTCTTTTTAAAGTGACTTGGTGGTTATTTTTGGGCACCATTTTAGAAACCAAAAGGAAACTGGGTCGAATTAACTTTGGCAAAGACTTCTAGGACTGTTACTAAGGACAGAGAAAAAGTTTGCTCGATGGGCGACTGTAGATGATTCTAAGAACCATTGCGTGACAAATTTAAGCTCTAGGTCCCTTTTGCTTTCTAAAGTGGTGAATTAGAATAATTATAAGCATGTACCTCGTCTCCATTTGCAACCGAATCTTCTAAACTTTTCTGTAGTTTGGCGCAAAACTTGGAGTTTACCTCAAGTAGTTCCTTGAAGGCAAATGCAAACATACATTTTAGCTCTTCTTCTATCCGTGGTCACAAAGTTTGAACTGGAGTCTTTGCCTACATAAAGGTAAGGGAACGACTGCTATGCAGACTTGTGACCTAGTGCAACCAAGAATTGGGATAATAGTACTCTGCAAAATCACCAATCATTATTTAATATCAGACACCAAGAGCGTAGCAAGGAATTTTCCGGAGGTACGCAAGGGTTTTCAAATCAACCCCTAATCCGTCTCCCAAATCGTATTCTCGTGGGTGATTTTACTTTACCAGTATGGAGAGATAAGCAACTCTTTTGGTCTTAGAAATGTGTTCTTCAAAAGAGAATTAATGGACAGAGAGGGAATCTTAGGACACTGACCAGGACATGTGAATATTTAGAGGTTGTAATTGAATAGAAGTCTAATTCCTGAGCTGTCCACACACTTTTATCGTTTGCAAGGTCATAAGTCCATGCAGAACTGCCTCAAAGCAAACAATGAATTATGTCCCACTGAAAAGGAAGACCTTTTATAACAATCACCTCAACAAGGTTGGGCGTCCAGCGGTTTAAGTCAAAACAAGGGCTTGTGTGGGGTGCTTAGTCTCGCGGGCTCATAAAACCTGGTCTGAAAGACTTTCCATTGAAAATACTGAAATTACGGTTTGCGGATCTCTCAGGAATCCAACTTCCTGTAAATTTCAAGCGTTTCATTGGTTAAAAATAACCTTGGTGAAATACACAAATCCCAAGGGCTAAATTGGGCTTTTCCCTCTCTGCACAGTATTCCTTCTGGGTTCTTTAGCGAGTCTCCGTGTGTGTTAAAACCTACCAAAATCATCGTTTTCCCAACATCTCGCTTGGGTTTTTATGCTGATTTAAGGACAAATATCCCAGTCTGTTGCTCAAAGTTATTACATATTAACCGAATTACATTTTCCCTCCATGAAACTGATAAAACGTATCCCTCGTGGTCGAGTTTAAATAATCGAGTACGCTTATGCACTTATCGATTGAAACCCCGACGGTGCTGTGTCACGGCCATCTGGTTCATTTTGTTAATATTGCCAGTTACGTGGTCCCTATTCGCTTTTGAGCGTCACGTGGGCAAAGAAATGAAGAAATCAAAGCTTCGTTTTAAACAGATGTTTCTTCCAAGCATATCAAGCGTTACGGACGAAAACAATGAACTTTGAAAAACTGTTAGGTTAACAAGTTTTCAAAAACCAAAATTTCAATCCGTTTTAATCTTCTTCATGTTTTCCCGTCTGTACCTTCTTTTGTATTTGCTGAGTCATTTATACCATCTTTTAATGTCTTAAGCGGTTATTTTTATGTTTCACTCAATTTGGTGGCAGTTCCCATAGCCTACATTGTGGTAAATTTCATGACACAGCTCGTTTAACGTCTAGTGTTAAACCCATGTGGTTTCTGAAGGTCTATATTTCCTCATTCTTTAAGCCAAAATATAAAATATAGCTCCTAGGAACTATTTTATGCAGTCTATTTATAACATCAGCTTGTGAAGGTTAAGGTATGTTGGCTGCTATTTTCAATTAAACTTGTCATTGCAGATATTACTTTCAATGGAGATGGTACGGATTTCCTTTCAATATAACTTTATAGCAATGTGCTACTCCATCATCCATTTTGTACCCTGACTTTTTATAAGTGGGTAGGGGTCATTATGTTTACTTATTGTCAAATATTTGTTTTATTTATATCTTGGTCTGTTATCATATTTGCCTTCTTGCTGTAGTAAATTTGTCAACATTAAGAAGTTGAAAATTCGAACGAAATATTAATAAAGTCAGTCAGGGAATTAAAAAGGTTTCCCCACCTGGGTGGGGGTTTTACCAGTCAATATGCCCCAGTAGGGTGGGAGTTTGCTAAGATTTGTAATGATGTCAAATCCCCACCTTGGCCGGGGGGGGGGGGGGGTCGGAGTTTCAATTGATAAGTGCATTAGTTACCTGCAAATTAAGGAAGATGGCAGCCAGGTTTTCCGGACTTAAAATTCCGCCAGACTGCATCGGTAAGTAGAATTCCTACGAAAAAAGCTTCCATGGTTTAGAACTAGTTTCTCACGATCACAGCATATAACATTGTTACCCCACCACCCGAACCAATAGCATATCTGTGTCTGATCAGTGAACGCAAGGTTAGATAGTCGCATGGGAGGAAAAACTTAAGGGAACTTGGATCTAGATCAAGCCTCGTTTCCACGGCTTTTCCTAATGCCCTGGGCCGAGTTGTTCAAAGCTGGGTTACGATAGTTTAGATTAGATTAGTTCGAAATTTGAATTCAGATATGAAAGCTTAAAAAGCAAATTCAGTTTAATTCTTTTTTTCAACAATTTGATGACTAGCTACTCTAAAAAGAATAGAGAAAATTGTCCGCGAAAATGCTTTTGATGAAAAAAAAGGGACCCGGGTTAAAATTTAACCCTGGGTTAGCGCTAATCGGCCTTCGAACAACTGGGCCCTGGGTACGAAGTTGCCGCGAGCCTGCTCGCCCACTCGTGACTGCTTGCATTCTTGGACAAATAAGTATAGAAACTTGGGAGGACTTGATTTACTTGATTACTATGGCAAAAGATCTAACTGGGCATTAGAAAAGAAGACATCTGACTCCAAACGATCACTGACCAATCAAAATATGACACTCTTTGCTAGGTTTAATTAAAAACGCACGTCAAAACACCTCAATGATCCAAGCCGAAGATTGTAGAAAACAAATTTTAAATGCACGTATACATATGAAAAAAAAAACACATTGCATCAATAAGTAGCTCCCCTTTGTAAGTCACGCGATCACAGTTCAAAATTCAAACAAACTGGGGGTTAAAAATGTAAACAAATGATTTGAAGGATTAATTGGGGATCACAGAGGGACACACGGGGACATCGAAGACACAGGGACACAAGGGGACACAGGGGGACACAGGTGGACACAAGGGGACACAGGAGACACCGAAGGCACCGGAGTTGATTGCTTCACAGAGGAACGGCAGGAAAGTACTACTCCGTAGCTTTCATTTGAATGGTCACACCATAGGATTTTATCCACAGACTCAAAAGTTAAAACCACCTTGTACAGCATAATAAACAGTACCACAGGAAAGTACTGCTCAGTAGCTTTCATTTAAATGGTCACACAATAGCATTTTATGAGGTAATACTATGGAGGCGAGAAGGGTTAAAGTCAAGTGCAGTAAAGCTGACCTCTTTAAGAATTTGCAGATCATTTCCATAGTTGATTTCCGTTTGTACAAGCTCGATAATGGCCTCCTTTCTTTCCACTTTGCGATCTTTACATTTGGCGCAAATCTGGGGCTCGCTAGCGTTGCTTTCTTCCTCGGGTGGAACATAGTGCTTTAGACAATCTGGACATTCAACCTGAAGATGGCGAAAACAATATGTTTTCGAATGAAAACAATACTATTGGTCGTTGGCTACTCTGTTATGGGAATGTGTGGGAGTACGGATTCTTCCATGTATTTTGGTTATAGAGATGAACAAAAACCTTGCGAAAACAGAACAAACTAAGCTTACTGACATGACATGGATTCAACGCATATTGGAATTCGTTCAGATAGAAAGCAAGTCCTCGTCACTTTTTGAAATGCTTGAGTAAATAATAAATGAACAAACGAACGAACGAACAAAAGACACCAGCAAATGAATGAATGAAAGAACGAACGAATGAATGAATGAATGAATGAATGAATGAAAGAAAGAATGAACAAATGAACGAGTGAGCGAATCAATGAATCAATGAATCAATGCATGAATGAGTGAATATGAATGAATTATCGAACGACCGATCGAACGAATGAAACAAAATGAATGGGTGAATGATCGAACGATCGAACGAAAGAAACAAACAAAAAGGGATGGGTGAATTGATTGACGGACGAACGCAGAGATGAATGAATGAACAAAATTAAAGGAATCGTACACTCACCATATCTTCTGTAATAGAATGCGTAGAACTCTTCTTTCTCGGTGTGGTACTCGGTTCATTTTCATTGGCCTTTTTCCTTCGCGCCAGTTCTTGCCAGTGTCGAGCTGAGGCAGCTACAATGGACCAGTGCTCAGAGCTCTTCATCATAATCTCTTCCCAGGACCGCCTCAAGGGACTCTGTCCCATGTCTCCTCCGACACCGCTGTCTGTGCGCTCCACATCTACTTCAAATTTAGGGTGGTCATCTGATGATAAAAGGCGATTGGATCAACCAGAAGGTAGCCGGTTGTTTCGCTAAAGATTGTAACCTTTTCGCTACGAGCTTGCCTATGTAAACTGTGACAATTTCTCATCGTTTAAGTGGATTTGGCTTAAACATTTTCGTTGCTTCTCTTGTATATCTCAAATGGAGAAGTGTGCAAAAATCAAATTTTTATAGTGAATTGACTTAACAGCAGAGTGTAGTAAAATATCTTTGTAGCGAAACGACTGGTTACCATCAGGAGTCTCTCCTGGGCATAAGATCTTTTTTCAATGCAAATGATATACAAACGCAAGCCTAAAGAACCTCCGCATTTGAAACGAAAAAAAGACAGAAGAATTTTCAATATTTCGGCACAGTTCGTCAGGCCCTAATTGTTCAAACGGTGGATATCGAATTCCACTGAACAAATCCGTTCCCACAGCATTTTGCAATTACTTATCCACTGAATATACAGTAGATTGTGATAGTACCAAATAGACTTTTCATGAATCTAACACAACGTAGATGATAATGATAATGATAAGTCATGGTAACAGCACTGAGTGGAGTCCAATTCGGTCTGTAATCATACGAGTGATTAACAAAATCGGACGACCGCGTAACGGGAGTCCGATTTGTTTAAGCAGTGAAAGGCGCGTACTGTCCAATTACTTAGGCATGACGCGTACTGTCCTATTAAACTGTCCAATTAAGGCTGAAATCAGGGCAGTTGATAGCCGATCAGATTTAACAATTTTGTTATCGTTATGATTATGATGATAATGACAATGACAATGACAATGATAATAAAATCCTTTTTAATTCTTGGCAGTATTTGTAACACAAAGCCTAGTGTGGCCGAGCAAATGATTGAAAGATTACCTTCAGAATCCTGACAATCGAACACTTCATCGTACTCAGTTATGTTGGAATCTGTTTCAAACTCAAACATGTGAGCCGAGCCACTGTCAGCACTCATGTTGCTATGGAAACTCTCCCATCGCCGGCTTCGTGAACCACGTTCATCATCCATTTCACTGCAGATACTAACAGTATCGTCCACTTCGGTGTCCGAACAAGCACTGCTGGCCACACTGAGCATGCTCGTGTGAATTCCCCCTTTCCGAAGACCTCTGTCTTCCTGGAATCGCCGGCGTCGAGCTCTCGGTGACGCCCTGTCGAATGATCGGTTACGTTTGACATCCATTAAATTCGTAGGGGAATTTGCAGAGTTCTTTTCAGTTTCTTGATTCTTCTGTTTCGTAGTTTCCTCCGTTTTGCCGATTATTTCTGACAGTTGTTTTCTGTCAGGTAATGGTGAATCTTTCGTTGTACTCAATTCTTTGTTCGCGGCTCTTTTGAACTTTGAGGCACATAAAATCGCTCGCGAAGTCCCGCGTAAACTAAACGAGTTCTTTGTCACATTTGACGAGTCTGGTTTGGCGTTTATTGGTTCACTGTTACTAGCACAAATTTCATCTTTCGCCGAATTACTTTTCAAGGCGAGCGATTGAGCTCTATCCGCAATTGACTCCAAATCATTTTTGTGAGAGGCCTTGGTATCACCATAATTCTCCACTACCGTCCTGTCAATTGAACTGCTCTCCGTTGACTTGACTCTGCTAGTAACGCCAGCTCCATCTAGAAAAGCCTCAGAAACGTCTTTACAAATTCCGTTTTTCCTTCTCAATTCTCTGAACCTTTCAGCGGCAGACTTTCTAGCTTCACCTGTGATACCTTGAGTGGTTTTGCGAGAAGAAAGTGGTCTGTCTACAAAAGTAGGACCGGTCGATTGATCTGTTGCGCCCAGCCAATTTGTTTCTCTCTCTTCCAATAACTTTCCTTTTCCATCTGAAGATAACCTCTGAGGTTCCTTCTCATCATTTCCTCTTTCTTTGCCATCTAAACTGATATTGCCAGACGAAATGGCCTTTCTTCCATCCTTGGGACTGCGAGATTTCTTCTGACCCCTTTCTCGTACAACCCGTACTTCAACATTAATTGGTGGATCACTTCATTCTTGGAGAAAGGGCTCTCCTGCCGTCCCCTCGAAATCTTTCGAGAGATTTTGGTCTCCTTTGAACTATCATGTTTTGGTTCAATCGATTCCCCTGACTTTGCAATATTTTTATCAATCCTTCTATTTCCCGACGAATTAAGCTTGTATGCTTCACCAACCGACGAATCCATCTTGTTTGTTATACTAAGCCTTTTTGTAGTGTTCTGTGCCGATATGTCTTTAGCGCTTTCATAGAGAGAAGAGAGCCTCTCCTTTAGACTACTTCGCCCGTCCGTGTCACTCTTGGATTCGTGCTTAACTGTCTTTGGAGTTTTCCTTAACCCCACCTCCTTAGCGTGCGCATTTTCATCTACACGAATATTTTTCGAATATCTCTCTAAATTTTTCTGTTTGAATTCCCTAAACGATGGAATTGGAACTCTTGCCAGTGGATATTTCTCTCTGGGACTTCCAACAGACAACGGTAGACTATCTCTCCTCTTTTCCGAAACTTCCTCGGTAATTAATTGTTTCGCTTGTTTTCCGAGATTAGAAAGCGACATAGCTCGAATCAACGACGGTCTCTCTCGACCGCCAACGGTAGAAGATCGGCTAGAGTCGGTTTTCGTCGTGGGGTCTAATCCCTGTAAGGAATTATTTTGAGTCTTTGCTTTGTAGGGTGGAACAATGTTCTGAGGTGAAGAGTAACCGAAGAAACGTTGCGGGGTCGAAGGAGATGGTGACTCACCTCTTCGACAACCACTCGGAATTTCCGCGTTATAACGAAGATACTCGAATTCTCTCGACGAGTTCTGATCGCATCCCGTGAAGCTAAGCGCACTCTCGTTTCCTCTCGTGCCATACCCGCTCTCATTCAGCGAAAAACCGTTCTCGCTTAGACGCGAACGAGGTGAAAAACAGGCATCGCGAGGGGAGGGTGAAGGGGAGGCGGTGTATGCCGAAAACGAACTATAATCGCTATACTGAGAGGGGGTGGGTGAGGCTCTACCATTACGAGGGTTGAAGTAAGGTGGACTAAACTGGGGAGAACTTGTGGTTAAATCTGGAACACTTCCTGCGGAATGAAGCCTGTATTCACCATTGTAAATTCTTGGAGAGGCCGAATCAGACTGCAGATAAAACATTTCTCGATAGCGTGGATCACCTTCGTAACTCGGATAAGCAAAACTTCTCTGAATAGCGGTTGGAGACTGGGATCCATAACCAGCATCGTAACCAAGGTTACTGAGATCACTTAATGATTGTGATGTAAGTAGGTGCCTTCCTTCCACCTCCCTATGGGGTGTTGGTGGGTAGGCACCTGCTCTTGAACCGTACTGATCAGGGTATCCATGGTGATAATTGACGTCATTCGCCGGATATGAATGGTGATAATTCATCATTGAAAATTCTTGCCCTGATGTACGAAGATCAGGAGTGGATGCCGCATGATGAAGACCACGACCAGGGGCCATAAAGTTAGGGGCGCTTTTAACATATCCGGAATCACCTGGATCACTGCTGTGTGAAAGGCTATGGGGTCTTAGAGGTGAAAAAGGGCCACTTTCTCCATACGTGCTCATTGATGGGTCACTGTGGCGTGACAAGGTGCGTGGTCTGTAAGACTCAAGGGCATTGTCTAAGTTGGCCCATAGTGGTGAGTCCCTCCGGTGCAATGTGCTCTGTGGTCTGTAAGATGAAGGACCAGTGGGCACATCAGCTCTTACTGATGAGTAAGACGGAGAAGGGCTTGTTTGACTTCTTATCGGTTCGCTATCACTACCCATAGGAGGCTGGGTTTCTTTCTTTTTCACCTAAAATAAATTTAAAAATGAAATAGACATGTATAAAAACATGAATTAAGCAATTCCAAACAAAAAGCTTCTCTAACACAATAGAATGCCGACGTTATATTTGCGTTCAAGCAACCCTAATCTTGTCCTGGGCGTCCTGTGTCTTTAGCACCAAGAGTGAATTCAGCTTTCAACTTCGTTCCCAGGGTTTTCTCTCTTTCTCAAGGAAGAAAGAGTACCCTGGGAACGAGGTTGTTCAGCTCCGTATGTCTTGACGTCATTGGGCCTCGTTTTGATGAAATCACTAGACTCGCTGTCGTGCATCAGTGATGATAAGTCACACGACTTCAATGCTTTATTGTTGGATCGCTGAACCAACTTGCTCTGTCCGAACGCATTTTCCTCATAAATGATTACTACTAATTTTAAAACTATTTGCTCTTCAAGAAGCTCTTTACTAGTTTATTTTAGTTACGTTACAGATTTTGCTTTTACACTCTTGCTGTTGTTTCCACGTTTAACGCGACATTACAATGATACTTTTTCGCATTCACTAAAATAACTACTTGATTGCATTCTTTATCTTCATCAACAAAACGGAACGAATGTTACGCTCGGTCGATATTTGGACAAAAGGGTCCATGCCCCCTGCCATGTTCTCACGGTAAAACAGTCAACTAGCCACATTATGGCCGGTGAACAGGCGTGCTCTTTTTTTGGCCTGTCGAAGGCATTTGAACTTTAATAGCCTTATTGACTAACAACACACAAAAATAAAGCATAAGTTTGGGCTCGCAAATCAGCGTAATTTGTCTGGTAAATGTTAAGACTGTTTTGGTTTTATTTTACCTCCCTCTTTAAAAGACGAGGCGAACTCTTTTAGTAAAAATGTTGCCGCTCATCGCATAACTTTCCAAGGCTGAAAAGTTGTCATCGATATCAAAAGGCGTTCGTACATACACATATTTCGAAAGAAAGAAGATGCGTTTGTACTAAACTGTTTCGTAGTACATCAAAACCCATTTAAGGCTTGGCTGCTTAAATATATATTATATTTGAATGAGATGTTTTGATGTTTTAAGTTTGACTCGATGTGCATAATATCCCACACAAGAATCGAGCTAGACTTTCAAAAAAGTCCTTCGTCCGACTTGGCCGTTTCGTTGCCTAATAAGCTCGCTTTGCTCGCTAAGAAACTCATGAAGTCGACTTCTAGCAAATCTAGAATCGAGCTAAGGACATTAGACATTGATATTCATAAGGTTCTCCTCGGAACTACATATAACGGATAGCAACTATATGCAGCTTATTGCCGGATAGTGTTGATAAAATTTTACATTATACTTTTCAATCGCGAACGCGAAATAATATTAACAGGAGCATTAAGCGCCAGGTGGTTTAGTGATTTTAAAGTTGTTTTACTGCATGTATAGATGTTTTAACCTTTCATTTTCATTTATTTGGAAACGCTTTTTTAGCGATGTTCTTTTTAAATCATCATTAGTTCTTGCTGGGACAGGATAATGAGACGTGCTGGCAGTGATGAGAAGATTCAGGTCGTAAGAATGTATAAGTGGGTGCAACATGCACCTGCAGACTGCGGACTGTAGACAGCAAAATAGTAAGTAAATGCCCGCATACTATGCACTGAAAAGCCTACTCTAATAAACTTTCCCTTTTCCAGGTAACAACTTAGAAAAGTGTATGTTTGGTAAGTCGAATATATGTTGAAGTTTTTCCTAAAGCCAAATTAATACAAGTATGGAAAATGTCTGATTTTCAACACAGAATAATCTAGCCAAAAAGACGGAAAAAAGAGCAGGAAAAGAGAAAAGTATAAGAAATATTCGTCTACCGCTGCGTTGCTTCCGGTTTGAACTGTTAAAATCTTTACGGATATGTGTTCAGCTTGTGTTCATAACTTTAAAGGCGTAAAGTAAATATGCACGACTTTTTCAATAGCGACATCCTCGGCTACTATAGAGAAAATAATTCTTAAATAACCAACCGAATTTGAGCACTTACGAGCTATGGCCGTTTCGCGGTTTAGAACTAAGAGAAGTCAATGCTCACTCAAAATCCATCTCCTTTAAGCATAAGACGCTCATGATAATTCAACGAGCTCTTTACCCTTTGCCACCCTTATGTTGCACGCTTTAGACAAAAAATTGATAGAAAGCAATAATTTTAGTTACATACCACGTTGCCCATTTGGTGATAGATGTCTGGTCAGCTCCAAGGCTTAAAGTTAAGTACCCGAGATTTGTGTACACTTGGTTTACCTACCACGATCAATTCCTAACTCTACCAACTCTACCACCTTCTAGCCATCCTCAAGGGGATCAGAGAAAAATGGAGGTATGTGTTCTCAGGTTCCAGCGCTTTCTTTCTTGTCCCACTTCAAGAATAAACTCCCAAAAACTAACGCCGCAAACTAATAAACCTTCAGCTGCTTCGTTCACGTAGAAGCCCATAGGCTTGTTTTGTAGCTCACAGCGGCATGAAAAGCTTGTTTTGGGATTGGTCAGTGATTGTTAAGGATGTTGTGAGTAAACTTGATGGATTTTTGCTCAGCACTTTTTATTGTTACGGCATGAATTGACTCTCAAAGTTCTCAGGGGGGTCTGGGCCCCCTGCGGTGAGTTTATAGAAGTTGACGAGGGGTACATTGGCGTCATTTTAAAACCGCAAAAAATACAACAAAAACGACGAAAACCGTAAAACCGCGATTAAAAGAGACAAAAACCGAATCGAAAGAAAACGCGGATAAGAGAAAAAAAAATTGGGTCAGTCGTCTGTCAAATTCAGCTCTGGTTTTCTAGAAAACTTATGGGTGTTCTCATGAAAATAATTTGGAACTTTGCAACTTGATCAAGAACCTTTTCATTAATGGACGAACACAGCAAAAACGAAAATAAATGCAAAAGTAGAAACGCGAAAAACCGAACGTTCGGGGCTAACGATCGCTATTTAAAAGTAAAAGACACTTGAGCCGAAAACCCGCAAATTTAGAGGAGACAAACCTACTAACACAACTTAAAAATGGTTTCAAGGCCTTTATGTCTCCTAGATCCACTGCGCATCGAGGTAGTTTTTTTCTGTGAAAACCCGCCATTTGAAAGAAGCAATCAATCTGCTTGAAACGCCGAACTTTGCAAGCTTTTCTAAATGATCACAAAGCCAACGGTTGAAGGTTACAAAAATCCCTTTGAGACCAAAGCGAGCACTTCGGGTTGTGTCATCGGTTTAGCGCCTAGGTGTAAATCGGAAATACTCATGCAATCCCGTGTCCAGAGTCCTCGGGCTTTTTGGTAGGCAGGTGATCATTTTTGGCGTCCACCCGCTGATCAAAGATCCCGAGGACTCTGTGTACGAAAATTGAGTACAGCTTACCTCGTTCCAGTTAACGCCCTTGAAAAATGGGTGAGACTGAATCTGCTCACTACGACATACTTCGCCTCGCACCAGTCTACTGATCAAATCACTGGCGGAAACAGAGAGGGAACTGAACATGAAAAAAAAAAAGCAAAATAAATTGCTAGTCAAATAAAACGAAAGTCTGAAAATCCCGATACATTGAGAGTCAAGGTTAACAAGTGTACGTTTCTTTTACTAAAGTATGATCTAAATTTCACAAAAATATGCGTGTCATTCAGTTTTTGCTATTTTGAAAATAAGTTATCTGGAAGTGAAGAAACTTCAAAATATTGATTTAGTGAAATAGAAAAACAGGAAAGAGGGTTAAGGGTTACGAATGGATGAGATTAACATGGATTATAGACGTCAAACGTGTACTGAAAATTCAACCTAAAATTTTTCAAGATGCAGAAACCGTAGCATGACGCCTTTACGGAAGTCGTTTTTATATGGATATTTATAAAGCAGAGAATTCTAGAGTGAACCTAGTTATATGGTTTGAAGTACGCTAACTTGAACAAATGGTTCAGGTTTTATACAATGGATTAGGTCCTGTCCTCTAAGGTAACTTATCACAATAAAAGAAGACCCCATTTAAGATAACCACATATCTACCAAGACCTAGCTAAATAGCTTACACAGCTAAGTCAAAAAAACGTTGGCATCAGCAAAGCGCAGTAAGCAATACCGTGACCCAATACAATTACGATATTGTTAGAAGAACGCAATATTTGCATTTTACTTTGGCAGAAAACAAATGCACGTAAACTGTTCATGATGACAAACCTTACAGTAACGATCTTCGCCGGCGCGCCATTTGCAGTGGTTCAGAAGATGCTGTTTGAGCTCCTCCACGCTTGCGAAACGCGAAACATTTCGCAGTTGATCTTGATATGAAGAATGCTCCAGCTCTTGTTAATTTTCCTCAGCAGCCCATTTGCTCAACACTTTTTTACAAGGAGCACGTACTGCGTTTTAAGAATTCACGATCATTGCACCCAAATTTCCTTCCGTCCTGGTATTACCTACTGCGTTTTGCAGATGGAAACCTTTTTCGAAATAGCTGTACAGTCGACTCCCGATAACTCGAACCCTTGCTAACTCGAACCTCGCGCTAACTCGAACCAAAATCGATTTCCCCTGGATTTCCGTCCTACTTTCACTGTAATTTTACCCTTGGTAACTCGAACCCTCGACAACTCGAACTCCCGATAACTCGAACTTTTTTCGATTTCCCTTGAAGGTTCGAGTTTTCGGGAGTCGACTGTATATGTGAGACCTCAACCTAGCTAAGCCAATCGGAACTCCAGTCCTCCGTCATAGAAAATTCTTCGCTACTTTTCGAGTGTTTGAACAGAAACGTCACGTAAACGGATCTAATTACGTCAATTTTACACAATTGTACCTAAATAAATCAACAAAAAGGTTTTATTTATTTTGATAGCGTTAAGCACTTTATAGTCATAACTGACGGAGACTTGGGCAGGGCTCTGTTTTTCTAGATTTCATGGCGGAAAAAAAACATCACCAGGGCAGAGTCACGGAAGCTTTTCGATCGAAACGTGCTTCGTTTTTATGCTTACTGGCTTAGCCTGTGCGCACTGTATGTCAAAGTCTGTGTGAAAAGTCTTTAAGTCCGATTCTATTGTCTTCGTAGACCAAGGCGTTAAAGTGTAATCTTCGGAGCAGAAGTACTGGGTTCGCGCGCCCATTTTTTTTGACGAGTTTTATAGATTCTTTTGCTTTCTTTTTTATGGCTACTGGGTTTCCAGTCGAAAGACATGCAAGAATCAATTGTTTTTTGTTTAGCAGCTATACTTCATTAATTAGCGTCAGAGATAAAACTCGACCGTTCAAAATAACAACAAATAATATCGTTCACCTTATTTAGGGTTACATGGCGTTTTATTTCAAAGGCATTGACTTGAGCAAGTAAAAGGGCAGGAAATACTTGGTTATTATCTGATTGGGCAATATGAATAGCATAATACACTGACCAAACCACTAAAAGAAACTTTCGTCGGCCAAAACCTCCTATCTAATTAAGAAATTAGGGAAAACGTTGAGCCTGTAGCTCTTGAGTTTAACCAACTGCAACAGGAATTCGTGAAGTTTTCTAATTTCTAACATCTTGACGTAAAACGATAGGGTTCGTTCGGCAAAGTGGTTCTTGAGTATTTTAACAACTTTTGTCTCGCACTGAACGGCAATTATATCAATTACTCTTACAAGACGAAACTGAATGGTCAAGTTTTTGTCGGAAACCGTCCAAACAAACCATGCACTGCAATAGCCTCAGAGCACACTTATAGTTTAAAGATAAGACAAGAAAAGCTTAGAACAGCCTTTTAGGTCACCGAAGCACCAGAGAGCTTTATCAAGTACCACTAATGAGCAACGAATGAGGTGCTAATTACTTCTTAAAAGTATAAACCATAAGGTCATTAGCTTTACATGAGGTTTTCGATAAAACTAGACTTCTAGGTGTTGTACATACCGGTCATTTGTCACACAACCTGGAGAGTTTTTCCCAGTCAGCATGGTATAGAGCACACTTCCAAAAGTTCTCCAGTCCTCTTGAAAATCAAAATCACTTTTGGGTTCGTGGTTGTTATTACACGGGTCACCATGGGAAAATCCATGAAGCGAGCAAACGCATTCTCGTTTACTCCAATAAAACTTGCCACAAAAATTTCGCCACAGCATTACATGTCCACTAGGTTCAACATACACTGTGTCCAGGGATAGCTCATTGTAAGCAAGACCAAAATTATGCAATTCCTCCAAAGCTATCAAAATCTCTGCGGCGTAAAACCGCGCTTGCGGTTCCGGGAATGTTCCGCCAAATGATTTAGCGCGCTGCGAGAGAGTTTCCTTTCCCGGAAAATCCAAAATGTAGTAGAATTTCGACCGTGTCTGAAACGTGAACTGCAAATTAACCAAGAATGGAGAGAAACGCGTCGTGGGTTGTTGCACATAAGGGCTAATCGGCGCTTTAGAGCTGCTATCCCGCGGTGAAACTTCCATGGTGTAAAACATACTGGTTTCCTTGTGCCTGACATGGTAAAGCTTAGACAATTCATTCTTCTGAAGAAACTGCAAATATTTTAAACAGAACTCAGAAGCGTTATTATGAAGTGTTAAAAGCAAATATACAAAAGAGAAATAACTTAAACCAGAATAATTCTCGATTGGGACAAATCGCAGGCGCCGGTTAGATAGCCTCCCGAAAACTTTGTAAATTTCGGTAAAGTTTTTGAAAGTTTTCTTAACTTACCGAATCGACCTCGAAACAGTCTGTTCCGTGGACTTTTCCATCAGTCATGTCCAAGATCTTGTTAAAATCCCTCGGTGAAGCTAAGTACACAAATCATATGTTGTCCAGTGTCGTTCGTACTCTTCTCGAAAGCGTGAATTTCGCTTCATACCGATACATCAAGTAGCCGTGGTCAACGAGTGAGGGGAACGTTATGCTACCGCAAAGCGCGTAGTTGCCAATCGCCGCGATTTGCGGAAAAAACTACATCTCGAACAGGTGAATATTCGCAAACGTTTAAACAAATTCGTGTGGATTAGAACAACTTTTGTGCAGACGGCAGAATTTTGACTTGTGAATGATAAGACACGCTTAAGAATGCGTCATGGTACCGTACACCAATCAGCGATGAGAAATTGACCTTTGTTAATGAGGTCCAACTCATTAAACCTTAACAATTATTGAGTTCAAATTAGCTGTATGAATCCTCTAAAAAATTTATTTCTAACAGAAGTAAAATTGACCGCTACTCCCGCTCAAACAACGTTGAATTAAAAGAAACAAGCGGATTTTGGTAGATAAATGTCACCTAAGCGGCATTTATGGAAAACGGGGTTAAGTTTATGTCACAGCGAATTTTGCATCACAAAGGTTTTCTACTTTGATGTGCATAAATAACTGAAACTTAACAAAAGCTAATAAGTGTACACAGAAAGTGATAAAAGATTTTCTTAAAGTATCTTTAAATAGCGCCCAAAAAAGGCTGAAATTCCAGCTCCGGAATGATTTTTAAAAAAATTTGCTTGTAGTGAGTAGAAAATGCACCGCCAATTTTGACCTTTTCCTCTGTTTTTGTTAATCCGATAAAATTATTAATGGCAAAAAGCTAATTACTTGCAACTAAACAAATTTTGGTTAATCTGAGAGACAGCGCGCATGTTCAAGACATTTCAATTGGCGCTAAGAAATTTCTTCACGAGGCCTGTTAGTTCAGGATGAAAAAAATGTAGTAGTTTCTTGTCTGTTTCTTCAGCGACCTAAGGCACGTTCTTGTTAAGAAGAGCAGTCAACTCGAAACTAGAAACAAAAGCAATTAGCTCAAAGTTTGACGTATTTAGTGTCCATGTACAAGAATTGCATTGTTTTCGCCGTGGGCGAAAGATATCTATATCAACAGAGGCATGTATAGTCAACACAAAAGAAAAAATGACGATTTTAGGGACATCGAAGCGCAAAGACTTTACAAAATGTATTCACTACTCGCACGCGTCATCTGATTTTAAAAATGACTGTAATTTACTAAATTTAGTTCAGAAGTCCAGTTGTTCAGTTGACCGTTTCTAACCTTGCTGATGAAGAGATAATTCCTCACAAAACCTTGCCTTCCGATGTCCGATGTCCGCTCTCTGATGTCCCATGACCGATGTCCGATGTTCAATGTCCAATGTCTGATATCTGATGTCCGTTGTCCGATGTCTGACGTCTAGTGTCTGATGTCTGATCTCCGATGTCCAATGTCTGATGTCCGACGCCCGATGTTTAAATGTCCGATGTCTGAAGTCCGATAACAGATGTCTGATGTCCGACGTCTGATGTCCGATGTCTGGTGTCCGATATCCGAGGTCTGATGTCCGATGACCGATGACTAATGTCCGACGTCCGATCACTGATATCTTATGTCCGATTTACGATGTCTGATGTCAGATGTCCGACGTCCAAGGTCCAACGTCCCATGTCCCATGACCGATGTCTGATGTCCGATGTCTGATATCTAATATGCGACGTCTGATGTCCGATATTCGAAGATACAAATACTTTACAGTTAAGATACGTGAGTGACAGACTACGCAAAAAGTCAGCTCCTTCTTCTCCTCTTTATAATCAGCTTTAGTTTTTCTCTGTTGAACGTACGCTGCCATCTTGATAAAAGTAAAAACTTTAGATTCTGTAAGTTCGGAGAAACGTTAACGTTGTAGAAATCACAGAAAATTTAACCCACACTGCGATCTACTCTCAACTGAGTTTTGCACTGGCGAATAAACTTTTTGTCTTAAAGTGTAATTGCGTTCTGCTTTAGACAGAAAAGAACGCACAAAAAGGTGTTCAGCAAAACGTTTCATGAGTTTCCTCGATTTTTTGGACACTAGACCGGTAAATAAACAAGTACATGGCTGACAGACATTTACAACAAACTTGAATTTCCTTGGATAGAAAGAAGACATGGCAGATGAGGAGCAAAATCTTTTCAGTAACCAAGAACACAAACTTTCATGACAACACTTTCACTCTTTTACAAAGAATTTATTGTCAAAATATATCGGTTTCGTTACATAATCTAAGAAAATCTCCAATATTTGCAAAGTATAATAATGCTAACGTACATTGTCATAAAGAAAACAACGCTTTCGAAAATGAACTTAACTACGTTACTACAAATATGACACAAATGTTTAACTGGGAAGGGAGACTCGACCGTCCACATTACGCGAACATTTAGCATTCGTAACCTTGCAAAAACAGACTGGTAGGTTTTTAGACATCTTTTTACACAAAATTCAAAAGACGTATTCAAACTAAATGAATTGTTTTTCGTTTGAAGTCAATTTTTACACAAATTTTCCATGCTAAAAGAAAGCATATGTTTGGTTCTTTCACAAATTCCATGAACGAAAAAAAAATTGGAGCATATTTGAGTTTCTTTTGAATAAAAAGGAAAAGAAGTTAGTGTGAACTAAAAAACGAAAATATAAAACGTCGATTAGGCCATGATTTAACCCAGTTTTACGTCTACATTGGCACTTAGGAATTTCTGGTTGGAAGAGTCGACAAAAAATTCTCAAACACAAAGCTCCCTTTTTTCGTGCAATAACTTTACCTATTTCTCACAATAAACTTTAATTTACAGCACTGCAAACCATGAATTACCGTTCTCTTTCTAAACCTTTCCGGTAACTTTGCGAGCAGCTGGTTTCCGGGACAACCAACCGAAGTTTAAGAGACTGAAGGCTTAGATTAAGAGAAAAAAAGGAATTGATGTTACAGATCAAAAGCAGAAAATTTTCAAGTCTAAAATCCTAAAGAACTGTTTTCTCCTCAAGACATGGTTCCAAACACCGGATTGTGGCGACAAATGCTGGGGCCGTGTTCGTCATAATCTGCTTTGGTGTGGCACACTGTGTAGAACTCGGGCTAAAAAATAGGAACGGAACAATATAAGGCCAATTTTGAAACAATGTCCTGGGTAGTATTTAAACAACTAAAGTTATTGCGGGTCTACTAGTTGCTTTTACTTAAACGACAAGAATTAAGGATTTCATTCATAGACTCAAAAGTTAGAACCACCTTGCACAGCATAATAAACAGAACCACAGGAAAGTACTGTTCAGTAGCTTTCATTTGAATGGTCACATTATGGGATTTCATCCAGACTCGAACGTTAGAACGACCTTGTACAGCATAATAAACAGAACCACAGGATAGTACTGCTAAGTAGCCTTCATTTGAATGGCTCAAAATTTAGAACCACGGGAAAGTATCAGTAGCCTTGATATTCATTGTCGAACTTTTCTACGTTTTCACTGAGTCACTGTTCTTGCTTTTGTGCGCTTCAAAGACTCATAAATAATTCATAAACAAAAATAGAAATTAATGTTAATGAATGTCCTTATATCTGATAAAAACACGGCTAACCCTTACGTCCAATTTTTTGGACCAAAATCGAAATATAAGTGCAAGAATGAGTTGATCTATATAAGAGACTCGCAGTCGTGTATTATAAGGTGTAAAAACTCTTGGCTTCGCCTCGAGTTTATAAACCTGATAATACAATCCTGCACCTTTTTTAAACAAAACTTCACGGAAATCTTCAAAATATTGCCATTTGAAGCAAATAACAGATCATGACTAATCACTCTTTCTAGAGCTGCTACAAGGCTCATGTATGTAAAGCTTACCGTTGAAGCCAACATACTTCCTCCAAACCAAACAGCATAGCGCTGCATGTGATGAGTGATAACTTGAGTTTCAATTGGTTTTGGCTGAAATTAAATAAATAAGTAAATAAACAAATCACTCTCCTAAAGATACTTTGCCCAAAACGTATCTTAAGAGATTTGAGATTTGACATTCGACATGCACTTTTTCGCGTATTCTCAAAAAAATAAATACCCCAGAAAACTTTGATTTTCCTTAGCTTAAGTTAGCACGGTTATTTTATTGGAGAAGATTAAGAGCTCTCCATATCACAAAATGACAAAACTTCTAACAACCGATAACTTGTTTCCACCATTAAGACATTTTCGCTAAAACTCGTAAAAGACGAGTTTCCCGCCAAAATGACGTTGGCTCACGCGCGCGCACTAAATAATATTCAAAAAAATCTCGTACTCGTAGTCGTCCTCATCTTAGAATCTAGAGGTCTCGATACCATAGCGTTTACCAATTCAACTTATCCACGGTCTGCATGACTGTTGGGGTTGTCACACAACGCATTCCCCACTGATATCGCGTGACGACCTAAGGAACAGCCGCCATTTCGCGACGGCAACAACTGTTTCCCGCCGAAATTTCCTTCTGATGACGTGTAACTACCCAGATCTGGGTAGTGCTCCTAATTGGTTGCGCCGAGAGAGAAATTTGCTTTAACCAATCAGACGCACCCAGATCTACCCAGATCTGGATAATGACACTTAATCAGTATGGAATTTCTGCGCTTGTTCTCAAGACGGCATTTCGCGGGGAAATTGTTGGTGACCTCGCCAAATGTTAGGCTACTACATAAGAGACACGTATATTTTGATGTAACGGAGTAATTTCAGAGCAAATTAAGAAAAGCCTTCAGTTGCAAAAAAAGGTTGTTTACCTTGATGCGTCCTCCACTAAGCTGTTCACTGAGTTTCAAGCGAGCGTCCACTGCGCGCTTTATGTCACGCTGCAAACGGCGACCAAAGTCACGGAACATGGTGGAGCCTCCAGAGAGCACTATGTTCTGCCAGGCAAGTAAACACAAAATAAACAAATTTCAAATGCTCAAGGTGGCTAAAACTGTAGACAGCAACAAAACAAAAATCCAGATATGCACGAGAAAGCGATCCTTGTTACCTTGTAAAGAGGCCTACGCACATCAATAGGGCAGTTTTGGATGACATCGTCCACAACCTCTGACAGTGGAGTGGTAAAATCTGGGTTACAGAACTACAATAAAAAGCGTTCAGTTTACATGTTAAAAATCAGAGACAAGCCTACTGAGTTTAAAAATTCAATAGTCCACAGAAGGACGTTGTTTGTACAATACTTTACAAGTACTGCATTTACTCGAATAAGCGCCGGCTCATTAAATTTTTGACGCCTCAAGTGCGGCGCTTATTTGAGTAAATATGGTATGTCCAAGCCTGTAGAGAATTCCCTTACCTCAGGGTGGAAGAAAATTTCTGGGCCCAAAAATCGCTCATAACCCACGTCAACTGAGAAAGGCTGTAGAATGAAAAATTGAAGACCATCAATAGAGAACATTCACTGGCACTTAAGTGCTGATAAAAAATGACTGCAGTGATTTTGTTAACACAGCGTCCTGCGTCCCTGACGCATAAAAATCCCCAAAGATCGATCGATCGATCTGAACAGGTTTTTTGTAGAACATCCTGTTCGTGTGATTTCTGTGGCTGTTCTTGGGGCTGTTGTTAAACGGCTCTTATTTCTTTTAGTATTTGTTGTGCTTTACAGCAGAAGGGGTAAATTTTTATTTCAGTAAACTGTAATACAGAGTTCTGGAGTCTCTCTTCAGATTAACTGTGTGGTTCCAAAAGGCTCAGGGACTCATTGCTTTTTGAACTGGGACTCAATGATTCTGGAATGAGACTCACCATTTTTTTTTCAAAAAATGAGTCACAGGACTCACCATGACTATTTGTAACAAAATCACTGAAAGACCTGGAACTGTGAGGTTTCAAAGATCATTCATCTTGTCTTAGTGGAAGGGCCTTGGAATAGGTGAGCATAGCTGACAAAATTTACCGAAGGTTTCATTTACAAGTATGCATTGAATTCTTACTGCTTATCTCTCTTTTCAGTTTCATTATACAGGTAATTTCATACGAGGGTAAAATATAATCGTTTGGGCGAGCGTACTCCTGTTGACGGTGACTGATGTTTCTAGACCTGTGCGGTTGTCATCTTCAGAGTCAAAGTGAATTGCATCACGTCAGTTGATCGTAATACTCTGGTTATTGACCTGGCTCTATCCAGCGGATAGCGTATTGCTTTCCCTAACACTTATCCGTTGGAGAGTGATTTATCTGGTGGATAGCGCTATCCAACTTTTGAACAACTGGGGCCTGATTGGTCAATAAAGTCGTGATGTTATTGGTCATGTGATGTCATGTGACCTTATTTTGGAAAAAATTAATTTAGAATGCACCAAGCGCGCTTTTTTCTACAAAGGTGCGAAAATTTTTAATAATTTTTAATAATTCTTAGAAATATTGTGATTTGATTTTTATCTATATTTTAAATCTTTTTCATTTTTATTTTTTCATTTTTAATTTTTTACAGGACCTGCATTGATAGCAGTTTTTTTCTTAAAACTGAAGCAGCAATCCTGTATAAATATGTTTAAATTATTATTATTATTATTATGTGTCAGTTACGCCTTGATTTTACTGGCTATGAAGACTCTAATTGTCATTGATGCATTTCGATCCGTCTTTTGTCACAGTTAACCCTTTAAGTCCTTATAATGACCAACAACAATTTTCTCTTAACGATGTACATACATGGTCACGAGATAAAGTTACGAGAATTACTAAAATGATCATCAAAGAGTAAATGCCTTGATCCTTTATCAAATTCTCAACTAATTCTTAAAAAAATGTACGGAGATCAGTTTGGAGAATTTACATGTGGATATTCGGGCTTAAAGGGTTTAACGGCCATTTATTGGTTTATCAAATGGTCAGTTGTTCAGTCATTCTATTGTTGTCAGTTTTGCTTGAGTTCGTCAATAAGTCATTTGTACGGTACCAGTAACAGCTCACTACAATTTAAGGAATTCCCTTGGACTGTATTTAAGCAACACCAGGTAAATGAATGACAATACAAGTTATCTTTCTGGATTCCTAGCTACCTTTCTGGTGACGGCATTTACACTCTCATATTTCTTCATCCATTTGCCTGGCTCTGCTTCATACTTAGCGAACTCTTTAGCAATGTCAGGACAGATGTAGCCCCAGCGTTCCTGAGAAGAGAACAACTTGAGTTTGAAACTGTCCTTTCAACCTCACGGTCAGGAACTTACATGTACAAAATACACCAAAAAATGAAAACCTTCCAAACTTGGACAAATAAAGGCATGATTATAGCCAACAACAAAACTGATAATTCTTGTCTAGAAAGTCTCTGTTAATAAATGATGTCATTATCCTATTAGAACCATGCATTCCTAACACTTGGGCAACTCTGAAGTACAGGGCTAGAGTGGGAACTATAAAAAAACATTTTATTGCAACACTAAAACCAAATAAACACTGCAGGCAATATAGCCCCACACAAACGTCCTCCAAAAAACCCATATGAGAAGGATGTTTTATTCAGTCAGTGAGACAGGCGGCTCAGAGGAGAAAATCCAAGTATTCCCCACTGGAGATTGAACCTATGACTATAAGAGATTCCTGTGTCACTGACTGGTAAAAAAAAACCGTCTCTCTCATGTATCGAACAGGCCCCACTTTTTTGAAGGCCGATCAGCCCTAACCTGGGGTTAAATTTTAATCTCGGTTTCTTCTTCTTTTATCCAACAACATTTTATTGGATAATTTTTTCTACTCTTTACAGAGCCTCCAGTCACCAAATTGTAGACGGAAAGAATTAACCTGAATTTGTTTTTTTAGCTTTCATATCTCTGAATTCACATTCGCACTAACCCTGGGTTTTCTTAACTCAGCTTTGAACAACCTGACCCAGGCTTTAAAATTTGCAATCACATTTTTATCACAGTGCTGGAAAAAATCTTCAACTCCAGCCATCCTTTGGGCAGGTAGCTCTCATGTTTTGCTTGCCTGGGGCCACTACTCACTTGTCTAAGCTAAGTATTTAGTGGGAGAATGAATTACCTGGACCCTTGTCCAATGGGCAAGTGAGCTTTAAATGTTACTTGCCCAGCAAGAAAATCTACTTGTCCTGGATTACTGGACGAGACATGTTTTTTGCTATCAGAATCCCAAATGTAGCCGCTGTGTGCATGACTGCCCCAATACTGCCACTGACAAGCACTGTCTCAATTCTAATTCTTGAACCAATAGGTGAAGTACAGTGGCAGAACCACACCTTCAGATAAGGGGGGGGGGGGGGGGGGGAATCCCGTCATCCAGATCCTTAGATAGGAGGGGGATGCCGTCTCAAAAAAATTTGGCCCTTTGGGCCTCAGTTTGGTCTAGAAATAAGGGGGGGATGGGCCCCCTGGGCCCCTCCACTGAAGTGTTAATAATGACCTTACATTACCTTGATGGTTTTAGCAGTTTCCATAGACTGCTCTGGAGGGATGCCAGTTTCACGTTCACGAAGCAGCTGCTGCACAAAGAAAGTGATGTCGCGACCAGCAATTGGAATGTGCTTTATACAACTACCAATGACATATCCCTCAGCCTATAATAAGGACAGAAACTAAAATAGTTATAAAAAAAGGCCTAACGCAGACATCAAATCCTAAAATGGTGTTCCAAGGGTTGGACTCCAGTGGGGAGCTCCCATATAACAGTGATGGGGATACCCATCGTCTCCCTTTGGGGTGTAAATTGCAGATTTTGGTTTAGGGTGTTTGGGATGGAAAGTCACTTTATTTGCCCATTTAGGTATCGCTTAATACTGTACATGGAGAAATTTACAAAAACTGTCCTGACACTGACCACACAGAAATCTCCCTTAGGGGTCAGATTAAGCTTGAGCCACACCCACACTGGTCTCCCTTAGGGGTTTAATTTGAATTTTCCGATGAGCGTCCCAATTGCCTCACCTTCATATGGGAGTCTGCCCCCCCCCCGGGGTTAAACACACTTACCACAGGAATGACGTGAGTAACACCATCCCCTGAATCAATAACTGTTCCGGTCAGGGTTCTTTCTCCTACTTGACGAGATGTCCAGGATGCAGCCAAAGCTAGCACAGCCTACAGAAAAAAGAAAGGGAACTTTTTATTAATAGACCTTTCCCGCATTTCTTTAGACAGAGATGCCAACGTGAGTCTGGGGGCTATATCCAAACAAATTTATACCCCGATTATTATGAACAGGGCCTTAAACTGCTCTTGAGAGCGGTTTCAAATCAATGCAGTTTCAGTGAGCAGATTCACTCATTTTGTGTGGACGAAAGGCCAATTTGTGTGAAAAAGTGTGCAGTTTTAAAAATATGAGGATTTGTGTGGAAGTAGCTTAAGAATGACAAAATACAGTGATTTGAATGAAATATTTATGGCAATATGGCAGGACTTCAAGCCTCAAATTCCTTTCTTTGTGTACTTTATGGGAAAGGTCTTTCAACCTCGAAAATAAAAAAAATATAACAATAATAATAATAATAGTATCGTCATCATCATTATTGTGATCAACTTTTCAATACTGAAAACAAAAGATTGCAAAATGGAGATTAAAACCAACTTACTGCAAAATAATATTATGAATCTCACCTGCACAGCAATATACAAGCCTGGGATATTGAATGACTCAAACATAATTTCTGAAAACAAATAAAACATGATAAGCATCACTGTTGCCCTTC